TATTTAATGTATTTTCTAATCAACAACACAATAAAGATCTAAGCTGCCATTGTTGCTTGTAGAGAAAATTCATTTTTATAATGTACTCGTATAATAAATACAGCCGTTTTTTAATTATTTCAAAAATACTTTTTAAATAATGTCTAATACTATAGTATTTTGACTTAACTTTTAAATTCTAAATATTTGCAGGTAAGTATTCAAGATTTTATGAACAAATTTTTAATTAATTTGATTAACATTGAAATATATACACTGTGCATACACGATGATAAAAAAAAAAAAATCGAATATTCCTCATTTTTATGCATAAAAATACTTATTATAACGCTATATGTTTTAAGTATATTTATATATACTAAATAGTAAAAGTATTTTATATAATTAAATAGATGTATATTTCATTATTCTCTGAAATTAAATCGAATTAGTAGTTATTAGTTGTACAAAATAATAAAGTAATTACATAATTAATTATTAATTAACATAAATATATTTATAAATTAATTAATTGCAATAATATATAGGCAATAGACATAGTGATTTTATTATATTTTTAAAATTTTGAACTAACATAAAAAACTCTTTTATAATATTCATACTTCATAGAGTAGAAATCAAAATGCATTCTTAGTTTTAGTATATTTAGCAAAGAAATCAATTAGATATTTTTTAACAAATGTGTAAATTGGTTTTCTGCTGACGTGATAATAATATGCTTAGTACTTACTAGACGTATAAAACTAATAATAAAATACAAGCTTTTTTTTTATTATTTCAGAAAAATAATTTTTTGAGTAGGTACTTAATACTTATATTTAACAGCTGACCAAACTGTTCAAAATTTTTTATGCAACATCTTAAATCTCAATGTACTGATAATACACTGATAGTGAGTAACTATAAATTGATTAATAGCTCTGAAAGAATCATAAAAATTGCAATGGAAAGGAAATGTTAACAGTCGTGATTTCAACTAATATTTATTAAAAGAATGTTGTACAAACCATGCGATCATTTTTAAGTGCAATAATAATTGGCCTTAAACATTATACAACACTCTCCTTATTTAATAAGCATATGTCATACAATACATCTTCTATTTAGTAAAAATACAAAAAAAACATCATTTGCATAACTGCATATGAGTTCTAAAACAACATGTTTACAAATTAAATACTAAAATATAAAACAATAGTAAAATCATAATTTTGTTACACGCCGCTTTGTTCGAAGAATGTATAATTTTGTTGTTTTCTAACCATCGTACTGAGAATAGAGCTGTTGTCTAGAGTTAACGATTCTAATACATTTACAATTAGTACATAATAATATGAATGATAATAAATCACAATGTACATAGTTTTGGCAAACAGCATAAACAATAATTTAGAAATTATTGAAACTCGAAAAAGTGTGTAATCGCGTACATAATAGAAGAATTTATTGGTAAATTTTCCTTTGACAGTTTATACTTTAAAGATGGCCTATTTCTTCTTTAACGCTTAAAAAATAAATAAAAAATTAAACGTATATTTTTCAATTTTGATTAAACATTGATACAATAAAGATAGTATAGTAATAATAATAATAATAATAAAAATATTGAGTGGACTTCATAATTAATAAAACATAAATATGATTAAAAAAAAAAACTATTATTATTATTTGATTGAGATGATAAGAAAGTAGTTAAATAATTTGACATAAAAATGTTAAAATATTATTAAACAATCATTAAAATTACTATACGATAATTTAATTTTGATTAAATACTTAAAAATTGATTTACAATAAAACTATATCTTATAAAAATCAATCTAATTGGCTAGACAAACTTAAACCATAGTAAACAATATATGCTACTAATTTTAAATTGATATGACTTCAGTTTTTACAATTGTGTAATCAAAACCACACCCATAAAAGATATACTACTTTTTTTTTACTTTAGAGAAAATTACTATCTATAAGATAATATAATAGATATGATGAGATGCAAAAAAATAAAAATTAGAAAATAGCGAGTAACTTGAATTAGAAGATTCCTCAGAGGTAACACTCAGAAAAAAAAAAATAATAAAAATGCCAATACCATGATATAACACCTAGTATAAAAAAAATAAATAATTAGCTTTGTTACATCGTGAGAATTTTTAGTCATATTGTAATAAATTATTATATAACACAAATGTTTGGTTATTTTTTCATGCTTAAAGCCATAGTAAAACACCACTTTTGAAAAAAAAGATAAATTTTATCGTTATGATTGTTATTAAATTTTTAATTTTTGAATCATAGCTTGTCTACATTTTTAACTTGATACTTTAAAAAACACAATATTTTCCTAAGAATTTAAATTAATACAAATCGAGTTTAAAACTAAAAGTTGGTTACCTAAAAGTTATGTGTAAAGACTGGATTTTCATACGCTAATAATTATTAAATATGCATGCAAAATTTCACTCATAAACGTATAAATATGCAAGTAAATATATAAAATATGCACTATAATTTTTAATTATTTTTATTGAATATTTAATCATTACAATTTTAACTATAACATTGATGTAAATCAAAATCAAGCGATAAAACAATAATTTTATAAAGCAAATATCAACATACAAAATGTTGTAGTGCTTAATAGAAAAAAAAAATTTATTTTATAACTACAATAGTAAAAATGTAAACTTATACCTAAGGGATAATTTTAATATTTAATATGACTATAATTTGGGTACCAGATGTTATGTCCCGTAATATTTACTTCTGTGACATTATATCAGCAATTCGTTAAAATGTATCATACAATACGTATGACGTAAAACTACGCTCTACATCAACACTTGTTGTTGATGCATATTAATATTAACCAATATTTCTAATGAATAATTTTACATAGGAAAATAGTTAAAATTAATATTTTACCTTGAATTATTTTAGAAATGTCTTTAAACAATTCAGTCCAGTATAATTTTGCTGATAACATCGTTACATTTTTAATAGCGCTAGTTTAATTTATAAGCAAAATATTTGTAGAATTGCCGACTCCTTCTACTATTTCTATTACAATAGTAAATTTGATTTTTCAAGCTTCTCAGTATTTCCAATATTAATTAAAAAGTTAGTTTTAATTTAGACAAGATCAGGGTTAATGTAGGATTTATTCAAAATTATTTTACAGACGTTAATAATCTCAAACAATACTGAATTATAAAATGTTTATCTGCAATCGAAACATTAAATTAAATGTAAAGCAATTAAATAACACTCTATGCAGTCGTAGTATGCATTTTATAAATGCATTTCAATTAAAATAATATGCACTACTCGACGCTTAAAATATGCAATTTAAAATTTAGTTAATTCAATGATTTAAGAAAACTCAAAAATTCCTATATGAATATTTATATAATATATATATATATATACCTATATACAGTAGAACCTCGATTTTCCCAACCGCTGTTATACGAATCCTATCCAAACTACAATTAACATATCCGAATGTTAAAACTCGACAATGCACTCGTATCGATAATTTTTTCAAAAAAATATAACAAACATAATAATATGCTCATGTGTATGTAATATAATTCTAATAAAATATTAATAACTATATCAATAAATATGTAATATAAAATACTTAACTGTGTTGTAAAAATTTGTTTATTGTGTTTTTTTTTTTTTAATTTCCAATATCCGAACTTTTGCGTATCCGAACTAGGTGCGGTCCCAATTAGTTTGGATAATCGAGGTTATATTATGACGTAGAAAATAGAAACACGCATTTTACATGAAATACAGCGTTTAATTTTACAAGTATTTCGAATTGAGCAAACCGAATTTATTATTGTCATCATAATATCATAATTAAAGGGCGGATGTCCATGCGTTTGTATATCTTTTTCCTTAAATAATAAAAGTTACAGAGTAAAATAGAAATTTGGTTTGTGGTCTATGGGAGATGAAATTAAAAATTTTATGCTGCATATATTTGCATATTTCGATACATTTTTTTTTCAAAGTATATTTATATTTTATTAGTGCACAATAATGCATACATATTTGGTATCTTTAGTTTTTACTTGCCTTTTTACATTAAATTATTATCTATTTCAATTACTGTTTTAGAAATTTTATCTTTTATACATTTTACATTTACCTATTTAAAAAAAAGTATAACAATTTAATTTTTCAAATTAAATGAACAATAAAAAAGACCAATACAAGTAAGTACATCAATTTTTTATTTAAATTATTTATCTATTTTACTTTGATTTTAAGTTTTTAACAGTTTTAACTTTCAAAAAATATTATTATTATTTCATTGCAAACTAGATGTTTTTAAGCATATTTTTATATTCTTAGGAATATAATGATGTTTTTGCGCATATTTTTACATTTCTCTAGGCATGTAATGACGTCCTATCGAGCATATTTTAAAATTTTGTACAGCATACTTTAAAGTTTTCTGGAGCACGAATATCCGCCCCTTAATAATAATAATAATATATTGTGAACAAACGTTTTTGTGAGGTAAACATATCATGTCGATACGCGTCATGTTTTTAATGTCAACTTGCCGTGTTATTACTGCAGTTCCTCGTACGTCGTCTCATCGTCTATCTGCTATAGGTACACAGTAGAAATCATAACGCCCATTTCGACGGCGGACGACGGCGACGACGGCACACACAGGCCAAACAACGACGGTTTCGACCGCATAGCGTGCGCCTAGAAGCCGATACCGTACCCGCGGTCACACGCATACGTCACACGCCTGTCGTACGCGTGTAATTACGATAATGCGCGTCTTGTGTGATGATGGCGATGATATGATGTCATCGATGGACCTGTTACCGCGTTGTTCCCGGGCCCGGACTGTAGCGCTAGAGCGGACGCGAAAGATCTACGGAGGGCGGCGTTAATTCGCGCGCGATGCGAAAATTTCACGCCGCCGTCCGCGTTACGTAAAAATAGTAGGAGTCGCGCGCGTATCGACGGCGGCGATTCGGGCACGCGACATTCGCCGACTCCGCGGCGCAGTCGGCATCTCATCGGCCTGTAGAGACATTACAACGACCACGACATCACCGCAGCGATACGCACGGATGTGATAGTAACACTACCGAAAATATTAAAAAAAAAAAAAACAATAATAACAGTAATAACCGTCGCGGTGTGTTTTAAAAAGTGTGATAAAAAAAAAATATACTCTTACACTATTTATTTTTTTTTTTTTTTTTAACACAATAAAGACAGATTTTTAGCCGCTTTGTCGTGCGCGCATCGGGCGCCGGAAAATTTCGAGAGAAACGAGAAGAGGAAAATCGCAATCGCGCCTCTGCAGTACGACAATATCGGGACGAGATTTTTTTTTTTTACTTTTTTTTTTTTTATATTGTTTCCACATTTTCGTGCATACCGCGAGTTAAATACATTATTTATTAATAATATTGTCGCGTGTATTTTATCCCACCCGCCGAGTCTTCCCAGAGATACGGTTCGTTTTCCCGCCCGCCTCGTCACAGCAGCCGTTTTCCGTCAGTCGGTGACCGCAGCCACCGCCATCGCTGATGAGACCGGGTGGTGCCAAGGTATCCTCCATAGGTGGGCACCCCGCGGTACTTGAAGGGTCATGAAAAATTCCTTCAAGACGTTATGGAACACCTGGCAGTGGGGATGTGGCCGAACTGTGAGTACGACGTTTTCGTAACTATACACGTCTTGTCAGTGCCGTGCCCGGGAATGAATTGAGGAAGCCCTATAGCAACCGTGTTATTATGGCTCACGTAATTTTTATGTTTCGAAAAATTGATTTATATTTTTTTCTATTATAATGACCAAAAACATTACTAATAGGTACCTATACAAAATCTGTATTTTAAAAACATTTTAAAACACCTCCCCCTCTATATACGAGATTATAATTATCCTGAGCACGACACTGGCATTTTACACACCTGTAAAAGATGTATTTATTATTATAATTTTTTTTTTGTTATTTATTTAAAAAAGTTTCTAAGTCACCGCATACTTTCTATAAATGAGCGATCGCCTATACTTGTTTTCTTGCGCTTTTGTAAGTAGGTACTATTATTGCGATATTATTCCCGACCTACTGTTTTGGCAACATTTGTTACTTTTAATATTCAACATACATTTATAATATATATATAGAAAATAATATATATAATTTTATTTTTAGTTGTGTATATATAAATACATTTTCGACAGTTTATTTTTTAACTTACTATAATAATTGTGTCAACAATGTTTTAATTGCTCTTGTCGAATAAATAATTTAACTACTCGTAGTTGAATAGTTTCATTTCGAAGAACAATAATTGATTCTTAACGGTCGAAATAAATTAAGTGCGTACCTAGGTACCGTAAGTTGTAATTATCACTATTAACTTGAAATATATAAAAATCAAATTACTAAAAATTTCTTCTGCTCACAAACTAAAATTATGTAATAAATACCTATAACGGATGTATACTGTTTCCAATAGGCGATATGTATATTATATAAGTTACGAATTACTTTATAGTTATTAGTTAATTCCTACTGAAGTGAATTATATATATTATATACATCATACAATCATAGGTGCGTTGTACAATATTAAATATTTAAATATGCATATGATATCCTTTAAGAATAAAAACACGTGTAAAATGTTTAAAATAATATTTGACATATTCTATCCATTTAAACACTATCTTAGTAAATCTTAATAAATACTAAATCTGAGGTCTTCTTGGTTATAACCTGTCACACCAGGTCTGAAAATCCCTATCCATCATTACAGCAGTAATTATTATAATCTTCGCATATCTATATTTTGAGGAGTTTATTTTGACAATTGACGAGAAGTAAATTTATATTATGTATTTATGTGACCTATTACATATTAAAATTAAGTTATTTTGTGTAATTTAATAACTCGTCGATGCATGCAATATTTAATATATAATATAATATATAGTAAAAGACAAACCGTCGATATTTTACTATATATGTACTCATAAGGATCTTAAATAAGATTAATGTTCTTAGAACTTGAAAATATAAAATAAAAATAAGAGGAATAATATCTTAGTTTTATTTTTTTAAGAAAACGATTTAGAAATACCATTATAATTTTAACACTTTTTGTATAATTAGATACTATTATATAATAGAAAATTATAATAATTACTATAAACTGTAATATTATACCATGATTTATTTAAAAAGTTATTAATTGTTAGTCATTGGTTTATTTTATGTAGGTATTAGAAGATATTACAATTTTTTTCAACTAAAATAATAATTTGTCAAAAAATAAATATTTGTTACTAAATTATTATTAATAAAATCTTCAGATTTTTAAATATACGGCCAGCGATCATTATTATATACATATGTATCTAATAAAACTAGTATTTTTCATACAATTAGTTGATATAGTTTATACATTTTATAGTCTATAATATAAATGCTAACTTATGTTTTTTAAGCATGAATACAAAAAATAGTATGAGTTATATCTTAGTAAAGCTAACAAAAATAATATTAAAAATAATTTAAATAAATAAATGACCAGTAATACTTTTATATTTGATAATTTTTCTTATATAAAATCATAATTATGAAGAATCAATTAATAATAATCTATATGTAACTACATAAGAACAAATTGTGTACCTATGAAAGTAGTTTAAAATACATAAAATTAATCTTATAAACGTTTATGCATAATACCTACATTCGATTATTTTTTTAAAAAATCAACTCATTCGTTTATTACCCTACCAATAAATCACTTAAAATTTATAATGAGACAAAATAGTAAAATAACCACATCACCACAATAAACCAACCATGTTTCAAAACATATTGTTAATTTCATGAATAGTTCTGAATGTCTATAAAATAATATCGATCAAATTAAAAAGAAATATTATAATTATCTACTTACTAAATAAACAATGATAAGCTATTAATGATGGAAAAATGAACCTCTAGCATCCAATTTTGATAAAGGTTTACTATACAACTGGTTTTCAAAAAATAAAAATTTGGCATCAAATATCAAAATGTATGTAAATTATATCACTACCTTAAATTAAAAAAACAAACAATTTTAAATGTAAGTAAGTGAAAATTAATTTATATAAAATGATTAATAATAATTTAATATTTTACATAATATTTCTTAAGTAGATACATACACTAGTTATATAAATAAACAGATTTAATAGCCATTCGAGATTAATTTTCAAACAATTATAACTTTTTTTTTAAGATTATTATTTTAAATTGTCTAAATATGTTTTTTATTTAATACAACAAAACATTCTAACGATAGATGGTTACTGATCATTTTTAATTCTCTAAACAAGCACCTTGTTTAAAAATATATTTTTTCATAACGTACTTATTAATTATATATTTTAATTACATTTTCGCACTGTAGAAATAATGTGAAACAATAATCAAATACTAGAATTTGTAAATATACCATATTATTTAACGGTTTGCTCGTTTAACTTTACGCAATAGACTAAAAACCGTTTGTTGTATCGCCTATATCACCACAATAGTGACTGATGTGTTTAAGTAGATGAGTTAGGTATAGGTAGGTATTTATTATTTAGAATATCATAAGAAACAGGTAGGTATAGATACGATAAAATTCGGTAGATAGGTATTTAATTTTTTTAGGCAATGACATACAATGGTATATCAAACAATTAATAAATACAATAAAAAACTATTTAATTGTTCTATTCAAAAAAATGTCGATAAAACAATATAGTATTATATTGTAGCTAATACTTATATTATTAACCCGTTTTATTACATTACTATAATAATCTGATCTAATGATGACATATTTTGTATAAATCAATTTAAACATCACACTAATATAATATTTTGAACTATTTCAGAAGTATTAACTTTTTATATAACATAATTTTTAACTAAAGCAGCGCTAATAAGATAGAAAAAAAATACACAAACACAATATAATAACTTCCCAAGTAAATTCGTTAGATAAAAAAAAAACTGTTGTAATAATGTATGATAATATCTTTCATGTTCTTATATTTCAAATATGTATGCAATATTCTACTCATTACGGTTCAACAATTACTTGACCATCAACTAATATTGTCTAATATGTATTTACAATACATGTACGAGTATATACTCTACGCGTACTAAAATTTCTAGTTTGACTTAACGATTTAATAGTATAGATGATAGTTATAAGTCTAAAGTTCTGACATATCATAATTATTTGACCACTAATCTATTTATATACAATAATCACATGTCTTGATTTTGAGAAATCTTCCAACTTACTTTTTAATAGAAAAAACTAAAATGTAAAACTAAAATTACAGAACTCAAAATTTTTAGTTATACGGAAATAAAATATTATAGTAACAGCATTGACCTCATCATTCATTAGTGATTACTGATTAGATACGAGTAATTGCAAGGAAACAGGTCAAAAAAGTATAATTTTGTATAAATACAAAACACAAAAATAATATTATACATTAAAACATTATTACTATTTTATCACGTTAAACGTTATACATAATGTTCATTAATATATTATTATTACGTACGTACCTATAATATAGTACATGTATATACCTTTTAGACATCGATCAACATTTTTCCTTGATTATCGCGTATGTTGTAGACTTTGCACTGTACATATTATAATATATGAGAATATTATTCTCCTGACGCTCTAAAAATATATCGATAAGTACAAAAAATATATCGAAGAAACGTGATCAAAAAAAAAAAAAAAAACAAAGGTTATACGTAACTATACTGTACAACATTACCATCGTCATAACTCATATTTATGTAACGCGTAATCAGTTTATTTTCAATTTTCATCAACATATTTTCGATTTTATACTACGTCATACCAATTAGCGTTACCTAACGTAAATAGACGACGGGTAATTAAATTATTGAGGGCGTAGCAGGGGGGTAAAGCTGATAAAAGGAACCCGAAATTTCAAGAAGAATGCTCGTATATATATTATGGTGGTTAGGTTAGGCGAGCGTACTTAATATTATTATGATTCCTTGTCCTTGGACAATGCATATGAAATAAACGGATTATTCTTAGAAATATTTCACTGGATATGATGTATGTGCCGTATACGGACGTCGAATAATGTTCTGGATTTCGTAAGTTATTGCCAAGACGTGTGCGGGAAATCTCCCGACGGGTCCATAAAACTAAGCGACAAGTGCAGCGCGGGTATGTCGCGAGCGCTGAGCGACAATAATAAGAACCTTCGCCGTAATTTTTCTGCGCACGAGTTAAAAATGTGTTATATAATCCGAATTTCACGTAGGACTGCTGCTGCATCACACTGCAACACAGCAGCACACACAATCACGATAACGATGAGTTTTACGTTGACAAGTCCGTGACCCATTTTTTGTGCACGCTTTTCAACCTCCGCGGACTATCATAAATAATATTGTTCGACGACTTAGAACAAAAAGTGCACACGCATTCTGCCGTTTTTATTTTTCTAGAAATTTTGCAGGTACGTTTTTCGTCGGAACGGTCGTTACTATATTTTATCAACGTTTTATTGCAAAACTATATACGTATGTATATGCTGCACAGGAGTGTATCATAGTGTTCACGAGCTACGCATTACAACAGATTCGTTTAGCATTAGCGCGTTTATTAGTTTTGCAATAATATGTTATTATATACGAACAGACGCGAACAGTTATACAATTAACAACGATTACGAACCTCGCAAAACAATGATTAATATCATTGCGTTAATCTGAAAATATTTTTGCAATTTCGGTTACAAATTATTAACATCATTGAGACCGGTACGAAAAAAAGACAGGTGTCAAACTTTTTAAGCGCAACTTCTAACGTGCCATTCCTTCCGCTTTTCCAGCGAGGGCAGCGTATCAATTGGCACGCGGCCGCCATATAATACGATTTTACAGAGTGTAGGTAATCATACGCGTTTTCCGATCTTACGAAACGCCTGCGTACGCCTGTGCAGATGAGAAGCTGAACAGGACATATCAGCGGCGCTAAGTGAACTCGATACTATTATGTACGCGTATAAAATTATAATAAGCTCCGAGCTGCCAAACACCACGCGTTGGTATACACACGCGTGGCCTATGACTCAATCAATCACGGTGTTATTGTAGCTCGTATGTGTACGTACCTACCTATGTCAAAAATGTCTTGGTAGCGATTGACTCATAAATTGCCAAGGTTCAAGGCGTCCGAAAAGGAAATACTTATAGGTTCTTTTTTTCATTTTTAATTTAACATTGTGTCAAAACGTCCTTCAATGAACCCCATGCGGACAGAGTTCACATATACGCGCGCGCCGTGTGTTCCATACACCTATATATGATTGGCGAGCAATTTAATTGAAATTAAGTCGTCTCATCCATTATAACTAGATTAGTGCAGTAGCAACAAAATAATTATGCGATTCGTTGCACCTGATATACCCATGTATATAGATATATTAATATAGCCATAGAAGTATATAATGTTATATATATAACGTTATAATAATATGCACTTTCGTTTTGCAGATCATGTCCGCCGTGGCAGCCCATGTCAATTCAATTTCCGTGGGCATGTGTCAGGGGTTCTCGGCAGTACTCATTCCGCAACTCCTCGACTCCAACAGTTCCATTTTGGTGAACAACGTGGAAGCGTCGTGGATAGGTGAGGCGAAAACGATAACTATCGTAATTTATTTAGCACTTTATAACTGCCTATAGCTATCTATTCAATTGCACTGTATACTCGGCCGCATCGAACGTATTATTTATTAATCGACGGCTATGGTTACGACGACAAACCAAACGTATGACGTAACGATGTTAAAATTAAATTTACAAAGTACTAAATGTACTGAACTTAAATGCTTTACATTTATGGTAAATAATATTGTGACATGTACAACAGCTATAGGGTGCCTCCGTGCGCGTATTGCAGCCCGCGTGGACTCGCACGACGTACAGACGAATACTCGATGGGAATCGATAATACGATTCGCCTATAGGTCGATCGGACTGTAAGCAAATGTTTATATTATCAAAAAACAGGAAAATACTTTAAAAAATCTAACAAATGTGGAACCATCATATGGTTTGCGATATACCTTTTTAAATATCGAAATATCAAAATATCGGCGGTTACGGTTTTTAATACCTAAACGATGCCCACCCTGTGCGCGTGTGTGTACAGACAGATATGATATCTTGTGTTAATCAACGCAACAAACCGCGAACACAATGAGTATAGTGGGTCACACTAGGATACCTAATTATCATCGCGGGTCACGTCGAACGTACTTGGACGAAAAGCGACTAGGCTTGGCCAATACGGCTGCTGCTGTAAGTCGACGCGTTGATGGATGAACGAGACGTCTTGGACGGAGGAAAAACGAACAACCGGTTACAAAAGTATCCCATAACGATTTGTTGAAAGTCATAAATAATAATAAATTAAATACCGGTCGACCAATGTTAATATAAAGGCAATACGTGTACAGGGTTGAGGGTACGCCGTAGACGATAATACAATAAATTTAATTGTTTTCGGAAATCGATTTGTCGTTTAATTTTTTGTTCACGACGTTAAGAGCACACGTAGGTACAACCTTTTCGCACAAGATACACTAATTTTATCATGTTATTACCTGCATTACATCATTTACATCCGATCGTTTTTCCAAACTTCGCGTTAATGATTTCGTCGATTCTGACGGCAATAATATAACATTATATACTTACATAATATTATACTACGCGTATTATCTACCTATACTGAAGCAGCGGCGCAGAAACGATGCCAATAAGGAAACGATTTGTTATAGGTACTACATACGCTGCCTATTATTCTGAAACAGATTATAATGTGTACCAATCGTACATGCGCGTTCCATATGTGATTTACTTTCGCTCTAGCCGCAAAACCCGCAGACCATAATTTCAATCATTAAGAGCAATGTCATTATCTATCCCGGGTTCGAGGTGTCTCCAGGTTGCGGTCAAGGTTGTCCGGTATAAACGCCCGATAACAATCGCGCGCAATAAATATAATTTTCAAAACGGCAAAGAAAAAAAAAATATGAAAGTTCCTGTCCGCGTTAGCACGCGCAATTATTGGCTTAATAATGACATATGATTGATATGCCCAAGAGTATAGTTGGCCCGTCGCTATATGGTTAATTGAATGCGATCTTTTAACTCGAACGCAGAACTTTGTGTAATGCGTCTTGAGTATAGGTACCTACGCATCTAAAAACTGTTCAACTATAAAATCACGTTATAATTTCAAATCGTAATAATGTAATAAACTAATAAATATGTCACAGATGGTTATACTATAACTATTATTATTTTACTTGAGACCGTTGCACATATTAAGTTTTTTCAAATTTCTGACTTCTCCAAGCATTTCCCAAAAACGTGTGAAACAACTCAATATAATAATTTTCATCTAGAAGCGAAAAGATATACGTATGTTGTATGGATGACCATTAAATAAAATATCATTTTTTTTGTTTGTGTAACAATATTTATTTTATTACCTGTATGAACGTGTTATAAAACGTAATTATATTTCCGGCAGCTGTACAGTCTAAAAAACATTCAAATCATACTGCTGAATGTGCTGAATTATAAATATTATGTCGAGTATTTTTTTATTCATATTGTACTTTTTTTTTTTTACAGCCAGTTTGGGGGTTATATCGAATCCTCTAGGAGCGATGATGTCGGGAGTTTGCATGCAGACCTTAGGGAGAAAAACAACAGTTCAATTGACATCAATACCATTCTTAATCGGTTGGACAATAATTGGATTGGCTACAGATATAACGTTTTTATGTCTAGGACGATTCATATCAGGAGTTGCTATCGGTAAGATAAATAAATTATCATAACGTTTGTGTATATTATTTTATATTACAGTATGTCATAGTTGTCTAAACATTTATTTAAAATAGTTTTTGATATTGTTACTTAAGAAAATATATAAACCTTGTCTTAAGAATAAGTCACGTCCGCATGACGTGTTGGACCTTCTCGAAAACGTACATGTACAATAGGTACAGCTGGTCAATTTTATGTTGAGCTTCATTTAGAGTGGATCGAAATACTAGTGATAACTCAATTGTAAGAATGCGTGTTTTTTCGTCCGTTTCTTGCGATGTTTTTATTTTTAAATGATTTATGAACATTTTTTTAATTTCGATATTTTACGTACTCATTACTAGCTTAAAAATCTAAGTATCGTAAAAATTAGCGGTTTAAAATACAATATATTGACGTTTTACTTTTAAACTTGTAAATCGGTCAATTCAATCTGATATCGAAACCAACTTGAAAAAAATTAGTCCAGCTTAATGCCAATTCACTATAACATGCGCCTATACATAATGTTTATAAGACGAGGACAACACATATGCATGAAACGTCCTCTTTAAAATTTGTTTTTAAACTAAGAGAACATAAAAAATAATTTATTTATCACAATATTATGATCTGTGTATGTGTCATCGTCAATGATTTAATTTAGTAAATCACACTTAGGCAATACCATTAATTACTATTAATCTCCCCAACACTAGTAATCAGTAGACGATATATTCAATGCCTAAGCATTAGCAGATAATACATACGATATATCATAAAAGATCAAATACTTTTTTAACACCTATTTCATAGCAATGACTAAAAAATCGCCTTAAGAGGCCGTTTTGGTGACAAAATTCCACCGTAAAAACGCCTGCTTTCATATTTCCCGTTTTGCTCGGCTCTCGATAGACATAAAAACATGATTTTTTTCACCAAAATAAACTCGAGTTCTTTTAGACGACTGCGTTATAGATTTTTGATTTTTTTTTTTTTCAAAAATTTTTAAAATGTTTAAAAAATCTAATAAAATAGACGAAAAAACGCCGCGCGTTCAGTCTCTAATTTTATTCAATCGGAAATCATATCGTCACTCGACTGTAAATGTGCAGGACCATTAAGACAAAGTAATATAATATAGTCATTAAAGTTAAATCGGACGATCCCTCGATTCCCTCACACTTCGGGCGGCGGTGACACGACACACGAACACTACGCGAACACAAAATGTTGGAGAATGATAACACCAGCTGCAGTGTACCCATATATTGTATAGTATTTCAGCGGTTTAATCGGTCTTTCGTTTTGTTTGCTGTACCCGCAGGCATGTCGTCGGCTTGTTACGTGTACGTGGCCGAAGTGAGCTTGGCTAAACACCGTGGGGTGCTGTCGTCGTTCGGACCGATTTTCGTGTCGATCGGAGTGCTGATCGTCTACTCGCTGGGCTCGATCATGCCGTGGCAGGTGGTCAGCATCCTGTGCGCCCTCACGTCGTTCCTGAGCTTCCTGTCGGTAAACCTGACGCCGGAGTCGCCGTCGTGGCTCGCTTCCAAGGGCCGCGTGGCGGACGCCGGCAAGTCGCTGATGTGGCTGCGCCGGAAACCGTCGCTGGCTGACAAGGAGCTGGCCGAGATCCTGAACAACTTGGCCGACGGCGGCGACGCGGATTCGCCGTCCGCGCCCGCGCTCCGCGACTTCGCGACGCCCGCCGTCTGGAAACCGTTCCTGATACTGGTTTGCTTCTTCGTGCTGCAGGAGGCCAGCGGCATATACATAATATTGTACTACGCTGTGAACTTCTTGCAAGTGGCCGGCTCGACGGTGGACAGCAACGTGGCGTCCATCGCGGTGGCCGTGCTCCGGCTGATCATGAGCGTCACCGGGTGCGTGTGCATACAGCACGTCAACCGCCGGACGATGGCCGTCGCGTCGGCCGTGCTGATGGCCGCGTCGATGGCCGCTTGCGGCGCGTACGAGTCGGCGTACGGGCCGATGTTGGTGGACGACCGGCCGTACGGCTGGGTGCCGCTGGCGTGCATACTGTTCAACGTGAGCGTCAGCATGCTGGGCATGGTGCCGCTGCCGTGGATGATGATCGGCGAGCTGTTCCCGCTCAAGGTCCGCGGCATAATGGGTGGCCTGGTGCCGTCGCTGGGCTACTTCTTCATATTCGTCACGGTGAAGATATCGCCGGGCCTGATGACGGCACTGACCACCGACCAGATCATGTGGCTGTTCGCCGCCGCGGCCGCGGCCGCCGCGTGCTTCGTGGCCGCGTTCCTGCCGGAGACGCGGGGCAAGACGCTGCTCCAGATCGAGAAGATGTTCAGCAGCGACGGCGGCGGGGACGCGACCTGCAACAGCGCCGCCGAGTACCCGGAGAAGTGGTCGTCCAAGCCCGGCGGCGATCCGGCCACAGCGGTGTACACCATCAGCTCGTTGGTGGAAGTTCGTCACAAGTAACGAGCGACGCCACTCACGCGCGTAATATTATTAGACGCGTACTCTGATCCGAAACGTTGCCCGATCCGTTCGCGGTATAATATCAATGGTATCCGCAGTTCGTCGTTATCCGCGCGCATAAGTTTCAAAGGTTCACGCGTCCTGTCTGCAGTCGTCGACCGATTGCACGTGCACAAAGATAATATTTAGATACACTTATTTTTTTATCGTCATTTTAACATATTTTTATTGTTTATTATTTTTTTAAATTTTTTTTTTGTCTGTCCACATCGAATAATACCGCGCAAGAACCACACGCGACGTAACAATTTATAATCGAGTGTAATTATTGCTCTCCTATTGTATTTTTTTACGGCGTTTACAGACTTAATGAAAACTGATAATAAATATAAAAATTATATATTTAATTGTGTTACCTGCGCGAATACAGCCCATTGTAATCCGACCATTTTACACATCATACCGTGCATGACAGCGACTACGTATGTGATCGAAAAAAAAACACAACAATTTCTGTTGTTATTCTATCCGTGCATAATTACTAAGTATTTATCAAATTATTTATTCTGTAATCTTATTGCCTAAATTGTAAATAAAACAAACTTGTGATATTATTTTATTGTTAAGCGAATCGTGTAAAATCAATTAGTGTTGTATTGTGTACAATTTTTTTATAAAACAATTTATTAACTGTATTATATATTGATAAAAATACAGTATAAATATTAGATTTCTAGATACATTACTTTTTTTCCTTTTTTTTTTTTTATCCTGTTGTGACTTTGTTATTTCAAACGACCATACGCACTAAACTCGTTTGAACACAAGACGTGTTCTTTTTTTGTTATCATGAAAATAACGCCCATTTTGAGATCAATGCGTATATAATTTTAATAAATAAATCACATAAACTTTTTATATCTGCGGGGCTGTTGTGTTATAGAACAAAAATACAAAATTTGCCGATTTCCATAGAGAATTCAATTGCGAGTTGAACACAAACACCGTTAATGAATTTATTCACGTTAAAATGATACAAATACAAAATTATTGAAGCAAGCAAGTAATACGGTTAAATAGTGATTTAAATGTGGCGATAATTGCAGAAAGTGGGCTATTTTAATATTTCTTTAAAGGAAACTATAACCTATACGGCTATACAGTTATATGACAGTTAGGTGTATCTATACACGACGCATAGGTATAAACTATTATAGTCGTATTAAAAAAAAAGTTTTTAAATGTTACAAATTTAAATTATTTATCAACGAGAATGTAATATTGTAGCTAACATAATATGTTCAAACTCGACCTTGTATTTTATCATAGTTTATAAATAAAATATAATTATATAAATACTTTTGACAAATAGATATTACCAATTCGTCATTTCAACGGTGTAGATTATTTTTTGACTTATATTTACGATAATATCTACGGATAGCCATAGAGAGCGTATACGTACCTCAATATTAAATCCTCAAGTAGATATTTAAGAATTTGAGTCCAAAATCCACGTAGAACCGCCATAAATTTGAAATTTGAGATTAAAAGTGAGACGTTTGAATTTAGGGAATTTAGTAAAACTTTATCATATCAAGCTTCGTAACTATTTCGATAATCCAAAATATTTGTGCATAGTATCTTGCTAAGAAAATCAACATTTTCCGCTCCCCCTATAACTACTCGAAATAATTGTTTTCGGTTTTGCTTATTAATAAAAAAAAATTATTCATTACGCATTCGTTCAGTGAATCGATATGGTCTTTTTGGAGCTATGTTATTAAAATATTTAACATTCACCGCCTGGCTGACTGACTGTACGGCTACTGTTTTGATTTCTGCAATTGCATAAAAAAAGTAAACTAATATTTATTTTGATAAAACAACAACGCACGTTACAAGAGGACCGATCATTACCGATTATAACCGATTATTAACAAATAATTTTGTGTCACGATTCACGGTGCTATAGTACCTAATCATGACGTCATATTAAAGTTATACTTTAAAAAGTTTACAGATATAACAAAATAACCGATGGCCAATAAACAATAATTAATGGTTAGAAGGTCATTGTGGTAAGCAACATATATTTTAAATGATAATGTATATACTTACATTTCATTAGTTTTTATTACTTTTATTTTAAGCGTCAGAAATTTGAAATAAAATATTAATGTTCTCGCTTTTCGTTAAACTGAAATTTGTACAAGATACGGGACTTATTTTAGAAAACTAATTAGGATTAAGATAAATTCCTAATGTATCGTATCGGCTGGAACCAGCAGTGCGCCGGTTATAAATCGAGATGAATGGCTAATAACTTAATTTTATATATCTAATATGTATTCGGTTGTATCAAAGTTATAAAATAATCAAAGTGACTGGTAATAACTGTTTATAACGTAAAAACAATAAGTACCTACCTTAAAAAATCTCCGTTAATATCTGTTGAGTATTGAGTCATTATTCATAGGCATTTTCTTCAGTGTAACAGCAGTAACTGAGTTTTTACAGTTTGTAATACTAAAAATATTAAACATAACAATCACTTATAAGTAATAATCGACAACAATCTAAAAGTAAATAATAATATACTTCACACAAAATACAGTAAATTAAAATTTTATGACTGTCATTTATAAGTGTAATATAGAATTTATTGGGGTCCAGGTTGTACAAAGGTATTTACAGGTCTAAAAATGAATCACGCCTTTTTTGGGTAGAATACAATTGCGTACGCTTTTTATTGGCGGTACCTTTTTCAACCCTTTTCATAACACGATTGCGTATGTTATTTTTATGGAACGTTGTCACACTGACCGGAAGTCACATGTAGACGAAACTGAAAATATTAAATAATTATCGTGAAATATAAATTCACACTACTTATACCGCAGTAGATTTTATTAATTGACCAATAAACGTTCTGAGTGCAGTATAAAATGTAGTATAATTGTGTAATTTAAAATAAAAAAATAAAACTATACAAATATTACGTTGAAACGAGGAAAAGACTTGACATTAGTTAATAAAAACCAATTTCGTTTTATAAGACAACGAAAGACGGGCAATTTCAATGGTTGTGCACACACAGTACATGTTATGCCAGTATATTATCAGACAGTGGCCGTTCAAAAGTATTATCAATGTTGAGTAAGCATAGCCATATTTTAAATACAATGGAGAAAATCGAACACCAAATTTTAGGAGAAAATTGTAAACGTAAAGCAGATAACTCAATTTAAACTAGACCATCAAAAAAACCAGATCTGAGCTGATGGCGACAGATTTTAAAGTGCCACATTCAAATATAAAAGATGCATGATGATAAAAGACGGAAAAATGATCCTCCTTTCCCAGATTCATTGACTTATGCTACACTTCAGTTGAGAAAAATGGAAGAAAATGGTGGTATTGAATTCAAAAATGAAATTTTTTACGTGCCAGACGATTTGCAATTTATTTGTATTACAACGAAGACAAATATTTATGTACTGTTACAGTGTGAAGATGTATTTGTAGATGATTCTTTTGAATACGCACCCAAGTATTTCATGTAACTTTAAATGATACATGGATTAAAAAACGAGTATTATTTACCTTTGGCTTATTTTTTTTTAAATTGATAAAGCAAAGAAATTTATATTCAAATATGAACGTATTTAATTGAATCAAACTCAAAATATTCATCTGAAATTCTATAAAACAATTGCATGTCGATTTTAAAGTTGTTGTTCACGAAGTTGCAAAAACGATGTTTTCTGACAGAAAGATTATGAGTTTCAATTCCATTTTCAAAAATATTATTATGTATTTATCGAAAATTAGCTCTATTTACCAAAGAAAACATTTATTTTAATTTTTTTTTTTTTTTTTGAAAGCATTTATGTGATTTGGTTATATTTATAAATTATTATTACGATGGTTTTTAATTTATATTATATATTTAGATTTTTTCATATACATTTTTGAAGTTACTTTTATATTGCAAATCAATAAAACATATATTTATATATTATGTATACATGATTAAATTTTTGTATATTTATAAATTTCGCAACGTTACACGCGCAATTGTATCGTTTTACGGGTTTCCATTGTTAAACAGCAAACATACGCAATCGTGTTCTCAAAAAGGTAAATCGTACGCAATCGGATTCTACCCCCTCTTTTATACGCTTTCACAAGCGACTCAAAAATCATCCCGACTTTTTTTATAAAAGATCAATTCTTTCCAACACTGCCTGGAAATTCTCATCGAAAGACAAAAAGAAACTGGAATCTTGACTTCCTACAAATATAACCCATATCCCTAATAATCGTCTCAAAATAAATAATAGTTAAAAAAAATATGAATCAAGATAAGTGTCACCAATTAGTGACTACTTAATCAACCCCTTCATGTCGATTCCCATCCATAGCATATAAGCTTATAATGCATCTTATACATAGATTGTTTATTTCAAATGAAAATATAAAAAAAGTCAAACAATTACATAATCAAAACAAATTTTAAATAATTTTAACTGATAACCCAACAAAAATACTTAATAATTAAATAAAATACATTTTTAAATATTGTATTTATTGCTTATATAATACAATATAAATTTTTAAACAAATTAAAATATCTTAAGGAGAATTTGATTAGTTCAGATGGAACCTACACCTTTCTAAGAACATCCTCTCCCTAATTTATGTCTATGCAAATAAGTAGGTAGGTATATCATGTAATATTCAATATTCATATTATATAAATCAAATACGTTTTACACTTTTACGATAGAAATCAATCAGTGTACGAAATTTTTCAGTTGGACATGTATAATATTCTTGAATAAATAAATAAATACCTAAATGAATGTTAAATATAATGCTCTCATTTAATATTACACAAAGAAGACGCTATAATTAGTTATTAGTATTTAATCATATAAAAAAAAAATATTATTCTCATTAATATTTGTATATAGTTTATATACTAATCGATCGTTATACATAGGTTCTGCATCAGTAAACCAATATCGCATAGCGTTGAGAAAAATAACTGCATACTACCTATTATTATAAATTATGCAATAATACACTTACTTATTAATTATTAGTCAATATATTTGACATGAGAGGAATTGAACCATGTTATGAAAATGATCACGACTTATTATGTCTAATAGCGAAATAAAATTGAGTAATAATAGTAATAACTAACGTTTTTATGCCTTAATTAAGACGTATGTACCTATATGTACATTCTATTTTTTATCAACAAGTAAAATTATAGTGGGTTCCTGAGTAAATTACTATAAAATAATTCAGATAAAACTTAAGTTTTTAGACATGCGTGTATAATAATAGTGTTTTGCTTATCATAACAGTAATAATTATATAGATACACTGCAGCGAACGCTTAAAATAGACCAGTGATGTATTAAATATTGACAAATAGCAACATATTATAATAGACTACATGCAGACAATACTTAGTAGCCATATGTCACTGCAGCATTAAAAGTTCACAGAATCCATTTGTGTAATGATTTCCAATATTAAGTGGGTGATGATGAGTAATGACGCGTAGATCCTGATCAAATAATTTATATCTGTAAATTTTAATCAAATTCGACAAACAATAATTACACCACATTGACCTACGCCTTGACAAAAACAAGACACAAGATATACATTACTGCGTGTGCTTACATAATTCATTGATAAGTGCCATTTTAATTGATACATTTACTGTTTATGTGGATAGTAAAAAATAAAAATAAAAATAAATATAAACAAGAGAAAAGGTTAAGTATAAAATATATTTGTTAAATTGAAAAATTACGTGAACAACGTACATTTATTTAGTTTGTCTTTAATTAAAAAAATTTACCATTTAATGTTTTCAATTTAATTTTGTATTGTTAAATAATTATTTAATTTATTTTTATTTTTTTGATATTACTTAAAGTCATATAGCTCTCATATACGTAAAGTTTGTAATTTGCGAGTAATTGTTTATTACCTATACTCAAAACTACATGATTTATATCTAATATCATATTTTATTTAAAATCTTGTTAAATTATTTTAGAAGTTATAAAAACCAAACAAATAAACAAGCAAACAGACAATCATTTTTATTTATATAGGCATATAATTAATGTTTATTATTCGACTATAAAATAGTAAGCCCTCATCTACTACTATGATAATAAAAATAATACCACACATTTTGATTCTTGCTATTTTAGTCTAAACTATTTACTTGGTTCATTTATAAAAAAAATAAATATTTTGTTGTTGGTATTCCGAGTTCCGAATACTTTACAAAATACATTTTTTTTATTTTTAAATCATTTTTCAACAACGCTAAAAAATTAACAAAATAAAATTGGTCTTATAATATGATAACCCAGAATCTTTTTATTGTACTACATTAGTTATGTAATATCAGTATATTTGGTTCCTAGTGGATAATATAATATGATAGGGATGATTTTTATTTAGTATTTTCTACTAAATATATCATAGTGGGTCTTCAGAAATATCCTTAGCAACATATTATTTGTGGATAACCGCTATTTCATAGGTACCCTAATAAAATCGTAAATATTACTTATACATATTATTTATATCTATTAATAATAATAAAAATTAAAACTCATATTAACCCAAGTTAAAGCAAATGATTTATTTTGTAATTTTATCTGCATCGAAATAAAAAAAGGTTTCTGTACTTAATACAATAGGTATATTACAAAAAAAAAATATTTGATTTAATAATAATAGTAATTAATATTAAAAGCTTTAAAACTAATTGCAATATTGAAATAATAGGATGACAAAATGAATAAATTGAACCAAGAAAATGCCTAGATAATAATAATCGTACCTCGTCAATAACATTATTCATCAATCATCACTAGCATTGCATTAAGTATTATCATGTACTACTATTATTATTATTATTAACAAATTTACTAATTACAGATTTTTTATTTTAATTAAGATTCAAACTATATTATTTGAAATATATTTTACAGAATCCATGAATATATGTGTAAATAATATAAAAGATCTTATACATTAAATAATTACAAAAATATATTATTCAAAATATTTGATAAAACTTACATATAACATGGTGAAATATTGGTTATATAATAAGTAAATTAAATTTTTCTTTTTTATTATGTTTTAAGTACTTTTGGTATTGATCAATGAATTTGTTATTTCAATGTCACAATAATAGTTTCTTAGAACAAAATATGTCTTCCAATAGCCAGAAAAGACTCAACAAGTTGGCGACAATACATGTTATATACAATAAGACTTGCCAAAACTATTTTCAGTGCTGACCCCGTATGATTGGGTCTAAACAACTTAAAAAGGTGAACAACAACATTACAGAGTATATATCACTTTCCTTTAAGTGTAACAAAAACAAAAATTACTGTTTGATATTTCATATTTAATTCAATATAATTATAATTTTTATAGAATACCTACAGTAAATTTATTTTAATTAATAATTATTTCAGTAGATACACATTATACTTTCAACAGTTAACACTTACCAATTATTATTGTTTAAAGTATTAATCTTTAAAAATTTAGTTTTTGGAAAAAAGAAATACCCACATACAATTCTAACATTTCATACTACTTTTATTAATTTCACATACAAAATTGTTTGTTGGGCAAATCATCAAACAATTTCAACTTTTAAAACGATCTGTAAAAAAGGACAAAATAAAATTGCATGCATTTTACATTTTTTGAAAATAAAATGTTAAACAAAGTTGATATATTTTATAAAGTTCAGTATAATCAACACTATTATAAAAAACACCCATCTATAACAAAAAATCAACACATTAAAACTATATTTTAATTAAGATTATCCACGCACACATAGATCATAAAATTAATAATACAATTATATATATATATGTGTTATACAGATTGATTCACTAAACAATATCACTTTTGACACTTTTATGTTGTTGTTTTTTTTAATAATAAATTTATTCAAATAATGATATTTGGAACTTTTAACTATACATGAGGACTATATTTTCAAATTTCAATTATTTAGATTTTTAGACGATTTAAGGAGTTTCGTAGTGATATTTAATTCTCAATTCTGGACAAGTTAAACAATCGTTAACAAGTTTAAATTAAGTTATTTAAAAAATATTAATAATAATAACTAAGCTATAGATTAAAGACAATTTTTAAATACAAATTAATTTAACTAAGTGGAGGAGTTACAAATTTTTAGAAAAATTATAATTTATTTAAGTTAAAAATTAAGTTATATTTTTGAAATATTCTTGACTATACCCATAAACGTTTTTATGTCATCAAAAGGAAAATAACTAGTTTTGATACCTACTTATAGTATAATAATAACAAATATTATTATTATTATTAATTGACTAGTTCCATCTAGATGACGGTTCAGGATGACCTCCACGATGATAATATTTTCACGATAGTATTTACATATTTAAAATTACAATACTATTCGATTTTAATACGATTTTACGACCACAAATCAATGCAAAAAAATATATAGTTCGTAATAAAAAAACTTGTAAATAACTTTAGTTTTAACAATATAACTAATTTAAGTATTATAATTATTAATATAAAGATATAAATTAATAACTAAGTTATTTTTTAATATTCTATTTTTTTAAACTAATTAAATCAAAAGTTTTTTTTTTAATAACTTTTAACTTTTTAAATATCTAAACTCACTTTTAATACTTTTTTTTCAAATAAGAACAAACTTTTTTCACTATAAATTGTTAAAAAAATGATTTTTTTTTTTTTAATATTAATGCACCTAAATCAACATTTGAACTAGTAGTTTCTGATTATTTAAAAATAAGTATCTATAATATACTAAAAATAATAGTTCTTAAAATCGGTTTTACAATAATACAAAATATTCTATGTAGGCTCGTAAAAATAGATCTAAAATTTTAGTACTCATTACCTATTAAGATAATATTGTTAAAAATTATAAAATGTTCATCAATTATTATTAATTACTAAAATTATAAAAAATCCATTATCATTTATCATTATCATAGACCAATTTATTCTTACCTACATAAATCAAATAACTCAATAACCTTTAAATCAATGTATAGGTACCTTTAATACAAACATGAAAGTACGAATATTATAAAATATGGTTACATTTTTGGTACAGTTTACCTTTTAGATATACTTTACAAGTGGATAATGTTTATGCATTTTCATCAGTAATTGACTATTTAGTAATGACTTTGAATCATCTTAGATTCAATTAATTACCTTCACCAGCATGCGTTTTATTCGTCCTAAAAACTTATACAAGATAGTAAAAACCGTTTCACGTGGGCAAGGACCAGTGAAACTGTAGTCCAAGTTAAGCAATCAAATTTTCACACTAGGAAGAAGAAATTTCGGACTGTGCAACATCGTTTTTATTAGTGATATCAAAAAATTTAAAACAATGTTGCGCAGCCAATGTTTTATTTTTTATATCGTGAAAATTGGGTTGCTTAGCTCGGACTACAGCCCTAATGGTTCTTGCCCGCGCATGAAACGTTTTTTACTATGTTATACGTTTGTAAGATGGAGACAACATATGCGGACGAAGCGTCCTCTTAAATGATGTATAAATCTAGATGTAATTATGGCTTTAATTTATGAACTAACCGCGATTTATTACAATGCCACACCTTTAGCGTATCCAACAAAGTAAAATCGAATATGGTATTCTACGCAATCTTTTAAAATTGATCGTAATTAAATTTCTTAGAAAAAATGTACAACCTACATGAGCGCGGGAGTTAAAAAAAAAATGATTAACTATTGTTCTGTATTTAAACTGTTTGAAGTGTGTTATGCATGTATACTTTATAGTACTTACATAATTATATACAAACATTTACACTAGAATGAATTAATAATATTATTATTAAAATATTAACCTTGGGTAAACAATAAACAGTGCTTATGAGTTGTGATTATAATGTATAGTATAATATGTTTGTTGTTCAATTTTTATTTATTCAATAATTATCCCGGTATCCATAGTTACATAGTTAATACGCCAGGTCTTTTAATTCGTGTTATATATAGTTACATAACAGGAGACTTTTTTGTGTTAACATTGTGTTCAATAGAATAGCATAACAGTATAATAGTTTCAGGCGTTTTCATTAGAACATAGTTTTAAAATGAAGTCTAATAAAAGATCTAAATTTTTAAAAAATGATTGCAACACGGATATTATATTAAGTAAAGAAAAAAAACACAAGAAAAAGATGAACGTGATAAAAAACACTAAAAAAAATAAGTAAGAGCTATATTTTGATTTTATTTTAATTCGTTCATCATCAATATTTATTCTATTAACATTTTAAGATAATTTTTTAATTTACTATCATGCTTAGAAAACTTCAAAGAAATTTTAAACAAACGAAATAAAAAAATTCTGATTCAAAAATGGTAATGCAATTTTTGAAGTTCTTCTAAAGCCCAAAAAAGAGTACTGGAAATAGACATCAAGTACTACACAGTTCCCGAGATTAGAACATTGTCACATTGATATACCTAGATATCAAATATTAATTTATTATTTTCTATCAGATATATATTTACCTATTATTAGGTATTACAGTATTAGATATACAATTAAGTACTTGCTTAAGCATTTCAAACACCTTAAAATCTTAAAATATGATTTAAATATTTATAATTACTTAAATAAAAAACTGATTATAACAAGCAAATATTTTATAATTTTTAAAGTGCATGCTTTTATTTATTATTTTTAATTGTATTAAATGGTTACCCACTTAGATTCTAATTTAGTACACATTTTTAACTTTTTATCTCCATTAATAACGAACCATTGAGTACTTATCTATAATGACATTTTAATTGACGAATCATAACAAGTAGAAAATAGAAACAGTATTTTACATTTAATTATTAAAGTGCATGTACATTGTACATGAAAGTAAATGTCCATATATATGAGCTACAAATAATAGTTAATTGTTATGGTTGTTGTGATAAATAATAAGTAATATTTAATACCAAACAGCATTAACTACATTGTCTACATTTATACTCGATTAGAAAATATTTAATTAAAATAAATACATACCTATTATTTTTTTAAACTTAAATAATAAAATTAATTTATTAAGCAATCATTTACAAATACTTTATATACATTAATAATCTAGGGTAATTAATTGAAATTATTTCTAACTAATTAAAGCTTATAAGAACAAATTTTAAATAAAAAATAAAAAATACTAAAAAAAAAAAAGCCAGATAAGAAAACGGAAATTATTAATAAATAAAAACTTGCTTATTTTGTCAACTACATCATAAAATTAAAACACAATTATTAATCAACATTTTTAAGTTCAATTTAATAATAAATTATATTGTTAATGGTCAAATAAAATGTATAATGTAGACTCGACGCAGTAGAAGTGGAAGAAAAAGAACTCGATAAAATGAATGTACCTGTGTCAGTATTAAAACAAATTGAAGACAGTGAATCAGACCTTATTAACTATACAAAAGAAGGGTCTCAATTAGTGACTAACGTACATTTAGCAAATGACAATCGCGAAAATAATCGTAGAGAAACTGACAAAAGTGAAAGAGATATTCGATTAAAAGCAGTTGAATTGGAATCTGAAATAGCTAATGCTAAATTTATGGAAATTAGCAGTCAATGGCCTATAATATTAAAAAAAAACGATGCCTTAGAAATCCACGAATATTTGGAACTTCAAAAAAGTCAGTAAAAAAACAACAATCGTTACTTATTAAAAGGTAAAAACTTAATTAAAATGTTTATGCTAATTTTAGAAAGAGGATTGGATCTCATCGAACAAAAAAATCAAATGATTGAAATACTGAAACGTGATTTAGCTGAATCGGACAACAGATTTTTACAAGAACAGGCAGCCCAAAGTGAAGATGTTCGAATTTTACAAGAAAGGATTGAAAATCAAGTGAAATTTATGAGAAAACAATACAAAAATCACATACAATACATAAAAGTAAGCACTTAAAATATATACAGAATTTAAATTTAACTTTAACTTTCCGATAGTCAACTATGGACCAACAGCGAGAATATAGAACTAATAAAGCTAAAAAAGGCTGGGAAAATCTTTATAATAAAATAATATTAACTGAAACCGATTCGTTAAATAACCGTTTGGCAATGATCGAAAAGAAGGAAAACAATATAATGAAACATTATGAAATTAACGAAGAAATAATAAGAAATTTAAAGTCCAACATGAATACAGAATTGAACGTACGTTTAACAAGCTTTAACATTTTTGATTTTACTTTAAATTTTAATTAATTTTATTATATTTTATAGTACTTACAAAGGGAATTTGAATTAATTAAACTTAAATGTATAGATAATGTGGAGAAACTAAATTATAATTATCAAGTTCTAAAAAGACGAGAAGAGGAAAATGCTTGTGCAAAAGCTATCCAAAGGAGAAAAATCAATAAGTGCATATTTTATAACTAACAATAGGATTTAAAAAAAAAAAACAATAACAATATTGACGTAGTGTTTATAATTAGATTGCAGGATAGTTTATCGACAAAAAAAAAAAATTTAAGAGAAAATAAAACTGATTTCAAAGCCAAAGTTCCTTTGCTACAGGATGAAATTGAAAAATTGAAACTAGACATTGAACGACACGAAAAAAAGGCGGAAAGATTTGCAGAAATCCAAGAAAAGACGTATAAAGAGTTGTGGGATTTTTCTCAAGAACAAATCAATATTCATTTAGAAAAAGTAATATATTTTTTAAAGTAACTTATACATTTTTACCATTAATAACTAATTCGTTTTATCAAGATTTTCAAAGTCGATAAATTCATACACGAGACACAATTAAGCATTGACTGGCAGCCACCGCCAAAACTCAAATATCTTGACGTTAATGATCTTCCATCTTACAGAAAAAAACCAGATACGCCAAAAAAACAAGGTACCTATATAAATCTCATAATATGATATATAAATTTATTATAGAGACGTTTTTGTGTCTGGATATGGGGAGGGACGATCGTTGATTCTTTGTTTTTCCTTTTTAATTAAACATAGCATTAAATATATTGTGTTAAAAATGTACATGATTTGTGAAAAATTGATATTCATAATGATGACTGATGAGGGTAGGTATAACTAAATACAATAATTATCGCTTGCAGTAGAATACATAACAATTTAAGATACTTCTCTAACAAGTAATTACTAGGATCCGGAATTTAATGATCTAAAAATCTTTAAAAAATGAACACAAAAAAGTATTAAAATGACTTATTAACATCAAAAAATGACTAGCCAAATTACCCTAAAAATGCCAAAAAAAAAATATATAACATTTTCAAAAATATTAAAAAATCATCGTTTTTAAATTAATATTTTTTAATTATTCATTAATGATTTTATTCATCTGAATTTAAACAATGCTAATATTTTTATACATTAAATATGATTTTTTTACAGACTATACAAGGCAAAAATTAAACTTAAAACTGAAATAAGAAATAATGACAGTAATACAAAATAATAACAAAAAATAAATCGGTATTTTTAGAGAAATAGTTTAAGGGCTTTACAATACGTTAGTTTTTTTCAAATATTTAGTTTTATTAAAATAATATGAAAGATAAATATAAAAAAATGCATCAAAATCAGTAAAAAATGTCAGTATAACTAAAATTTACCGATAAATGCAAAAAAATGCAAAATAAAAATGGTTCTATTGAATTTTACATAACAAAAGTCAGATTTTTGTAAAAACAAGGCTCGTATAAATAGCATTAGAAAAAAGATGGAAATGCATCAAGTTCCGGGCCCTATTAATAATTAATGACGACTGTCGACTATGATTCAATATATTGTATTAAATTGTCTCTGTTTTTAGATAACGTTACAGTAGACTTGCGAGTCCAGAACGATAGGAGATCAGTCGACTCGTACACGGAGACCAGAGAACGAGCGCTGTTGCAATTGGTTTTTGACATGACTATGAGAAATAGTTCTTTTATATTGGACAACGAACTAATCGAAATCATTAAATCTCATCCGAAAAAAAATCTCATTTTATTGTACAACGCGATGGCGGCGTACGGTTTGAACAATATTGACTCGTGGCGATGTTTATTGTTATACACCCAGTCGATGGCAACCTGTGCAATTTGCCGCGGACCGGTCATCTGGCATAAGACTGATAGTATAAATCAATCAGCAAATACAGATAGGTTTGGATATTTAGTATTCGTCAGTTAGACCTGTCGAAAAATAAATTGCAATTATGTTGTTGCGTTCACTATATTTTTTTTTTTTATCCATAACGTTTTACAGTGATTGGAAAAAATCCGATTTCAAAAACAAACTAATCGATAATATACTGATGTTTACTGAAAACCACACGAAATACACGGAAATAGTTTTATCCGCAGCCACTGACGTGTCAAAAAAGTAAAACAAATTTCACTTCAAAAAAAAAAAATATAAAAAAAAAAAAACCGTTTGTATAATATTTTAGGAAGCGTTTAAATAATGATATACATTTTTTCAAAGAAAAGTCGACTGCTCAACTTGATTATGATAATATCAACAACACGACTGTAAACACAAAATATAACGACTATCATTCAATAGAACGTGCAAATACAGATTCTGACGATTCGACGATCACATGTACGATGAGCTTAAATCACGTATAACCACTATATCATTGTAATAATAACACCTAAATTCCTAAATTATATTATACACATATCTACGACTTTGTAAGAAATATAATGATTGATAAAATTTGTTAAACTTAATGTGCTGTTATGCGATTTGCCAATAATTATTGTCGAAAATACCTTATCGTTTTGTTATTATTTTTTAAACGGTATATTTTTTTTAGTTTCCTTATCACTGACGGACTTTGAACAATTATGCAGTGAAAACGATTCAAACCCAACTATAAAATATCAACACTCGCGTGAGTATCATATCCTTCATATTTTTGGAATAAAACAAAAAAAAAAATGGCTCGAATAGTTTCTCAGGTGGAATTTGAACATTTTCAAATAGAAACCGAAGAACAAAACAATTTTTTAGAAACCACACAACCGAAATACAGTGAAAATATCAAAGAAGAAAGTAAAAACAATAAATATAAATCGCTTTACTAGTGTATATGTCGAAGAAATTTTTCATAAAACACAATTTTAGATGATTCCATATCACTTAAAACAGTTACCAGCTATGAGTTATAACAATATAATAATAATAATTTATAAATGGCGTGCGAATCAAATTGAAAAAGTATTATAAGGTAACGTAATACTATTAAAGCGTTTATAATTTGTTATTTTTTAGAAGATCCAACTTTTCAAAGAAGACTATGCGATAACCCTGATCATTCATTAACAATTAGTGATACAGATTACCTTCGTGTCATCAAAAAATCTATCGATACTTCAAAATCAAAAGTTTCAGATCAACGCGCCCAAAACAAATCTGATTTTTATTTAACAAACTCTTTAAGTGTAAAAGATATAAACGATTATTGGAAACAGTTTATGTACGCTTTTCCCGAAGATCGTTTGATCCTATGGGATGTATTCGAAAAAGCTATTAAGAAATATTACCAAACGTTACACCGTACGCACAAATATAAAATTAATACAGTCTCGTATGTTTGTTTTTGTTTGATAGAATGTTTTTTGATCCGTGTTTTATTGTGTTTAGTCCGCTTCAAAAAAATGAAAGAAGTCGAACAACTAGAAATCGAAAACGTGGAGTTGAAAAACATTTTAAAGCAGTTTATAGACGCCGAACAGGTATTTTACGTTATATTTTATAAACTAAGGTTTGATACACTTTGGAATTCTAGTAAGTAATAAAATAATAATTAAAAAGTGTTTAAGCTCTTATATAGTATCATAACTATATAGGTACTTAAATCAGATATTTCGTACAGACAAAATGTCGTAATGATTAAAACTTATGTAACTTATCAGGATGATGTGCGAGTACAAAAAATTTGTACTCCGAAGATAAGAAAACAACAGCAGAGAACGTCTGCAAAAAAAAATTCAAAGCCAACATTATTCGCTGACGATTCTAACAAAATTTGTGGAACATCAATGCATATATTCACAGTTAACAGACCTGATAAGAAAAAAATAAGTAGACCGTTCACCGCTCCAACGAAATCATAGATAGGTACATCCTAGTAGGAAGTAGAACTCCTATTTAGTGTATGTTACTGTGTAGGTATCGTTTTTTGGATAATATTATTATTCGATTTAAATGTATAATAGCTGTATCAACATGTAATATTAAGCAATTAATATTAAAAATAGTGATTAACTAATTGAGAAAACGATGAGTAGATAAATTTAAAATTAAAAATATTAATTTAACATAGATAGAAAGGTACATTTTTCTACATTTATTAAACAATATTTGATATTAATTCTTTTGTTTTTTTTTTTTAATAGTTATTATCAACTAAAATGTGCGTTGTTTATTACAAAATAATAATAACTAAACCACGGTAGATACTAGACATGTATACTATATAGTAATGGAGCATGCTGGTGTCATGGTATCTATATAGATTTTATAAACGACGAAGATTGGTGGATAATAGGTTGTAAAGTTATTATTAAACACCAACGAATTAATTTTATATGTACACATGAAATCGTAAACAAATCATACTAATTTATTGGTATTTATGTAATAACTTAATACTATTTTAATCATCAATCATCAAAAAATCAAAAACGCAGTGAAATTTACTCGAAAAACCGATGTTTATAAAAAAAAAAATGATTTTGATTTTAAATGTATACGCCAAAACTGCACGTTAGAACAATATTTATATATTGTATAACTTATTCTTTATATATAAATACCTAATTAAAATCTCGGAAAAATGAACATCAAAATTATATGAGTATGATCACAAATCGTTCTATATGTCTTCAATCACACCCTTCAATACAATAGAAGAAACTTCCCAAAATCCTATTTAGCCATTTAGGTAAACGATTATGCTCTCGATCGACAAATCACTCAAATCCATTGCAGACCATCAATAATATTAATATCTGTTATTGGTTCCGATACTTAACCTATAATGAATAGTAATCCTCCTCGCAGACTAAAGATAAAATTATTTAAAAACGTAACCCCAAATTTTAATCAATCCTAGTCAAATTTACTTACAATAAGTGTCACCGCTTTTTTCGTGTGTATGCAATTCATAATACATAACCACATACATACTTTTAAGTCATAGTAAAATGTAAAAAAAAATAATTCAGCATAAAATAATAATCGTGCATAGGTAAAGTTAATTGAATTTATCATTTTTGCTTTTGCTGAACTTATAGTTTTTTTTTTTGTTTTTAATCTTTTTTTTCTATTTTGATTTACTCGAAATTGTGCGTACCTACATTTTTTACTTCAGTTACAAATTAATACGATATGTCATAAAATGATCAAATATATATGATCTTAAATCTTTAAAATGCGTTCTAAAATAATTCGTATTTTTAAAATCACATAGTTTCGTGAAACATATTTTGTTCTAACTTAGCATACTGCAACTACAATACGACCGACCAATAAAATTATATTCAAAGGCATACAAATCCAGATCCTACTCATATGAATTATAATAATTTACTATGTTACCAGGTTTAAATTACTATAAATCGAGTTGAGTATTTTAAATAGATTAAATGTGACTACTTAAAAATCTAAAAATAAATGTGTTCCTACACTTAGAATGTGCTCTAAAGTGTGAAATTCAATATTCGTAATTTAAAACGAAAATACTTAAAACTTATGACAAATGATAATGTGCATACGAAATTAAAAATTTAAAAATTTATATTATATTGTGATAAAGTTAATTAAAATAAAAACTTGAAAAATGAATTTCCCCCTTCATCGTCTACGTATCGCGTAAACGCCTGTAACAAAAATACATCCTACGCGGGTGTGCGTGATAATTCTTCGAAAAAATTATGATGACAGAAACTAAAGTTTATTTCCTATAATATAGAGACGCTGTTAATATAAATGCGTTATACGTAAATTTTAACTATGACGTTTAAAAGCTATTCGTCATTTTATACACATTACCTACTACTCCACAATTACATTAGGAACCTACTGTAAAAAATAATATATTGTGTTTAAGTGTTTTGACATGGTCGTTGTCGCAGAAGATATTTTACAGAAAGCATTGTGTATTTTTTTTTGTGAATCGAATTTTGAAAATTTTTAACACCATATTGTTTCACGTAATATAACGGTTTAGAATAATATTTTTAGAACTTTTAAAAGCTTAGTTTCCGTATTTTTTTAATAAATCAATTTAAACACTTTGTCATTTTTTTATCACGCATAAATCTTAGTAACTAATCTTAGGTACTTACTATTGGGTGTAGCCAGTCTGTTATTAGTACGCACTTAACGACGCTTTTGGGATCAATACACACATCACTACCTCAACTTAGCGAATATAAGAAATTTGTTAGGTCTGTTAACAGCATTTGTTTGACTAACACAAGTATGTAGACAAAAATTTCGTTTGTGAACAGAGTGTTGGTATCTAAAACAAGAATCGTGTTACGGTAGTTATGCTTTTAATTTGGTCTGTTGAATTGAGTAAGTATTGTTTTTTTTTTCTTATTGTTGTTAAAAACGAATCGATTTGAGTACTTGAAATTTCCAGAGTACTAAAAATTATCAAGTGGTGCCAGTGGTGGGTACTTACTCAAATCAAGTATTTGAAATCGCAAGGGTGCTCATAAGTGCTCGAGCATTTGAAAATTTACCAACGTACACTGAAATTTCAGAGTTATATTATTGATGATATAATAGTAAATATAAAAAGGAATCAAATAATTAAAAAAATACATCTTTATTTATTTATTATCAATCCGGTTTTGTAAATCCAAACCACGAACCTTCCTTTAATCTTTAATTGGTATTCTCATCCGAAATATTGGGTTTCGAGATTACTTTTAATTTTCATATTTACCTATTTTTCCAAAAAACAGTCGAATAGCCGAGTGAGTACTCGTGTTTAGAGAAGCATAACAAAATATGTAGTAGAGTACTAGAGTCAAACCGCATAATACTCCAACTCGATTAAAGTTTTTCAAACTCAAGTACTCGCCAATTTAATACTAATCTGTGAACACATCATCTAATTTTAGAACAATATTATCTATATTTTATTATTTAATATTATCTACTAGATACAAAAAAATTTAATTTTTAAAAATGTAGCATGTATTATTATTTTTTTTTTTTTTGCTTAATATGTGACGGTTTAAACTTGCTCGTGAATTTTCGGTATCTAAGGATTATTGAATTTTAAATTTAACCTGACAACAATTAAATGATACGCAACTCTTCAAAATATTTTTTTGTTTAATTGTTTACCACTAAGCCTTGTGTTCATATAGGAGACGTTTTTGAGAAGAGTAGATAAGTACTGATAATGAACAACCACAATCCATATATTGTATGTGTTTTAATTATTAAATTTAAAATGTCTTAGCATATTATTATACGCTATTGCAGGTCTTTTAAATAAAAAATCATCATTAACTGTATAGTAGTAACACAGAATTGCATATACTCTGTAGTAGTAATTTAAAGTAAAACTGTACAACACTCAAAACACCTATGTTTAACTGTTTAAGTGATTTGTGATGGCTACAATACTGGAAATGTCACGTATGGATGAAACACGAAACCCATACAACCGTACCATAATTGAAATTTCAAATCTAATTTGAATCGGCATGGATTAGCTTCATAGACAAAATCAGTAGTGATCAAGTTGATTGATTAAAAGCTAATAAAAAGCTTATTTAAGCAAAGACGTAGGGTGGAACTGATATAATAATAGTTACTCCTAATACCCGTCCATAATGCAGGTATTGTTTTAAAAAAAATAATTTAGTAATTATTTTACATGTATTTATTATTTCTTATAGAAACAAAAGCATAGGATTAAGTTTTTCGAGGAAATTATTGAAAGTAAAAATATTTACAAATGTACAATCAAACTGTTGGTGAATATTGATGATAGCTTATTAGGAATGTTTTTATACAAGATTCTAGAATAAAAGAATGATTTGAACATTTTCCCAAGGTAAAAATACTAATAATAATGGAAATTGATAATTAATGATATATATATATTATTTAATAAATCACATACTTATTTTAAAGCTAAAATGAAATTAGCCAAAATGCTAAGCAATCAAAACAAAACAGTGAATACAAAAAAAAGTAATAACTATACTCCATTCAGATAATAGTACACATAAATTCATTTTTTGATGAAATTTACTTATGTTAAGAGCTAAAACAATAAAATAAAAAACATTAATAAATTAGATCATCACAGTGTAAAATAAATAAACATTTAAATTGAATTTTTAATATAAAATAAAGTAAAATGAAGAAGTTTGGGAACCACATTTTAGTTAAATTATTTTTCTAACCACGATGCAGCAACTGAAGGGGCAGTAGGTGATTTAGGTTTCACATTGAATTGTTTTAAGGTGGTTTCAAGTGCTTGATGATTATTTGAAAAATATGCTAATGTTGCGTTATGAAACATCAAAAGTTGTTTATGCATCACTTTCACCTAAGACAATAGATTAATGTAAAACAAACATATATATATATGAATTTTTAAAACAGAAAATGTGCCTTCATAAATATGATAATATTGAACTATTGTAAATACTAACTAGTAACTAGTATTATTTTGACTAATATGCTTACTCTATTTTCATCAAGAAATTTCAACTTAACAATCACATCTGAACGTAATTTTTCAAATTCTTCCTTGTGCTGTTGGTAATTTTGCTGAGCATCACTAACACGAACTGTATTAGAATCTGTTCTTGGAATTTGTGCTAACATTTCAAGATCTGAACGATAAGCATCATATTCAATTCTAAATAAAATTTGTTTTATATTTATAGATGTTAATACATATTTTTTTAAATTATTTTTATAGTGCTAGTTTTACATTTCTTAATACATGAAAATTTATTATATCACCACCTTATTTGTTATCAATCATCACTCATAATAATATTAAAAATAATATCCGGTAAAATACTATTAAAATGATAAAACCAATAAATCAAACAACCTAATTTTTACTATAAAATTTAATTTATTCTTTAATATAACCATATTGTATTTTATTATATGCATACTAAATAGCATGGTTTTCCAAAAATCGTAGAATAATTAAATTAGTTTTTAATAAGTATTACTATAATAGAGATATGAGAATAACATTCCAAAGTAGCAGAGTGATGACATTTTCATACAAGATAGAACAATTACAATCTAGTACAATTTTTACTTACCTTGCACATTCATACTGTTTTATGGTAATTAATGTATCTTCAATAGTTTTATTACACAGAGTATTGACTGATGAAACAAAAAAATTGAGTGCATTTAATAGACTTTCTCCATTTTTTGATAAACATTTCTGAGTTTCTGAATTTTGCACAAATTCTTGTTGTAGTTCTGGTGATTTTTGGCCCAATTCAGCAAATGCTTCCCCAAGTGATTGCTTTATAAAAATAAAAATTAATTGAACACTAAAATATTTACATAGTAAAATAATTTAGGAAATCGGGAAAGCTATGAATTTATAATCTAAATAATAATGATAATTTATTTAGTGTATCCTATTAGTTACGGCACCAATATTATTGATATGATCTACCATAAAATTTGAAATTTAAAAACAAATTGAAATTAAATCATTATAAGTAATTTTTTATTTAATACCTAATTTATTTTTATTTAACATCTTAATTTTATAATATTTTATTAATCTATTGAATAGATTATATTAGGCGATACAGTTTTAAAATAATTCTTACTTGGGTTAAAATAAAACCCTGAAATTGTGTCGCCATGCTTTTAGCTAATTTCAAAATATTCCCATATTTTTTTTGTGTTTCTCTCAATTGCTCAATTTCAGTCTCCAATTCTAAAATTGAATTAAATATTTTTAACTTAAACATTTAAAGTACTAATAATATCATACCTATATCAACTGTTTTAGATGATTTTCCAAGTTTTTCATTGATTAATTGTTTAGTACATTTATATGTCGACACACTCCAATTTTTAATAACATCAATTTTAGATGAAGGAAATTTTTGATGTGGAATTTCACCATTTTGTGTAGGACTTGGTGTATAACCTCTAGGAGCTTAAATAAAAGATAAATTAACAAATACATTTTTAATTGTAAAAAATATTCAATTTACCAGCAGTGTTGGTAAGCGGTAATGAATTAGGAACATATGTTCTGGGTTTCAGAGGTCTTGCTTCAATTTCTGATCTTAATATTGCAGGATGCATATTATCTGTTTCTGCATTCCTATTTATATATTCATGTACTGTAGGATCACCAGCAATAGTAATTCGTGACATTTTTTCTTATTGAATTGTTTTATTATAATCACAATCACCTATAAACAAAAGTAATAATAAAAACCATTTACCCAAGAAAAAAATTATATAATAGATATATACTTTATTTAATAAAGATATTGAGATAATAATGTTATGAATTTAGAACACTATATATTTATAAATTATTAAAAATATTAAATTGTTACTACTTTGATATGAAATAAACAACGATAAATCTATGAAATGTTATTAAACATAAAATGGGTTATATATATACACCTGGTTTACATAGAGCACTGTTTAAATACTTAAATCTATTTTAAAGTAAATTAAACACAGGTATAAAAAAGAGTAAGTATAAATTATGTACACATCTTCAGTAACCAAATCTTTAAATAAAATGCATAAATTAAAAACTAAAATGAACATATGAAAACTAATATAACAAAATTAGTTGGATAAAAATAAAATAATACCAACCAGTCACTACTTATATAAATAGCATAAATTTATTACAAATAATAGTATTGAATTCAAAAAATAAAAACAAAAAAAAATTAATTGATTTTGAATAAAATTTGTTTTGCTGTTTTACATAATTTTTATATTTTGAAACTTTGAATACATTGAAAGTTAATTATTTTATTATTTGTTTTAATTAATATTTTTGTTAATTTCCATAGTAAAATACACAATTCACTAATAATTTTTTTTTATAATTTTATTGTTCATTTCTACATGATCAAAATTTTAAAATAAATAGTGGTAACTGATAACACCAAAGACTTAAGAAAATGAGTCACACGAAAATATGTTAACATCACGAAAACACGTAAACTTTAAAATACCGAAAAATAAACAAACAAAATTACCTTCTAAATTAAGTGAATCGTACAGGTAGGGCTATCATCAAGCTATGCATTTTTATTTAATGAATATTAATGGTCCATCTCCAGAATTAGATTTGATACTATTATTAAGAACTAAATTTATTTTAGAGTACTTACCTATTTATGGATATGGAAACTAGAAATGTAAAAATAATCAATTTTTCATCCAGATTTTCCAAATTGACAGTTATGATGTTAGGAACAAACTGTTATCGATTTAATCGAAACGTTGATAAAAAATAACTAAAAGTTACTAACGAAAACGCTGAGATTATCAAAAAAATAATAATTGATATTTCAAATTTTCAATTCTGCTACCAGACAACCAGACTCGTTGCGCGTCGCGTCCGTTCTGGTGACTAACTTACTCATAGAAATAAGATATTATGTCCCGGACTTAACGATAGGAAAAGGAAACAAAAATTTAATTTCGTAAAATAAATATATCTATGATGGACGAAGAAATCCAGTTAAAAAATGTGTGTGATTTATCTTTTTTACTTTTGTATCTTTAAATATTTTAATTAATACTTATTTTTGTTTGCAGATTAAAGAATTTTTACAAAACTATAACAAAATAACCGATGAGTGTTTTTCACAATGTGTATATACATTATCACAAAGTAGGTTGACAGGTGAAGAGGTTAGTATTCAATTGATATTTTTTTTCATGATTAACTTGTATAATTTAATTTTATCACATTTATAGGCATTGTGTGCAAGTAATTGTGTACAGAAATCTAAGTTGATTGATCAAAAATGTATGCAAGCATTTATTGAGCATCAACAACAATCAATGCAAAAGTTTATTGAAGAATCTTCTCAAAAACAGGCCGAACAGGAAGCTACTGTTGTTGACTCAAGCAATTCTGATACAGAAAACAAAGAAATGGTCAAACAGGAGTCAACTGAATAAAAATTAGGATTGGAAATGTAATATGTAGGTTTGAAATGAATGACTTAGTATCTGTAAATATAATATTATTGTGATAATTGATTGAATTTAAAAATATATAAAAAACAATAATATAACTGTTTTTTACTTACTTTCACTTAGTATGTTACCAATAACATATAGTAGATACAACCTTTTTTTTTAACTTTAAGGTGTACCACAATATTTTCCAGTTGATCTCTGTCAACGTTATAAATATATAAATGTATAGTTAAATTAATAAAATTAACATAATTCTTAAAATTCTTGATAAAAAGTAGTAAAATCTATTTTTTATAGAGCTTTCTTTTAATGAATATTCCATTAGTAAACTTAAATTTATAAATATTATGATTATTTATAACATTTTTGAAAGCACATAAAAGTGAAATGTTGAGTGTTTATTTAAAAAAGCTACGATTCAAGACGAATAAAATATAAATAATTAATATATACAATTATTTATTTAGAGCATATATACAGATTGATAAATGAAAATACGAACATAATCAATCAAATAATTCTCAAAGATTAAAAAATTAAAACTTAAGACATTAAAAACTATAGATCAACTATCTAAATTAAAGAAGATATGATTGAAGTTCTTGAATCTAAAACAAATAAATAAAAAAAAAAACAATATGTTAGAAAACTTGTAAATATTAACTTCAAATTAAGTTATATAATGATATTAATATTCTCAGAAAAGAGTAAATATAGCTTACCTGTTGTTCTTTCTCTAGTTGCTCAGTAAGTAAATTATTAGATAAATTTATAAAACGTTCTCTTAAATTTATATTTTCAATATTTGCAATTTCCAAATCTTGTTGTTTTTTACGTTCTTTAAGTTCTTCAATTTCTTGTTGTAACTGATCAATTTTATGTTTAATGTCATCTAAAACAAATTCAAAGTTTGATAATTACAAATATACATTAATATGGGATCAATTTTTTCAGTGGCGAACCCAGGATTTTAGTACTGTGGGTCTGCCTCACTTATGAGAGGCCACTGTGTAGAAGGTTCAATCAACTGTACATTATAAATACATTATATATTATATATTATTATTATACATTACCTTATTTATATTACATATATTAATATAGTAAATACTATAACTAAAAGAGATAAAGCATAAGTCATAACTAATTTTTTAATACAATTTAAAACTGACTTATAAACTTTGATATTATTAATTAATTCAAATTGAATAGGTTTTTCATATCTTTCTAATTTCTATACATCATATATCATAATATTCATAATATATTATATTTATATTTATACATTTACAATTATATTTTCATAGAAATGTTCTTGAGTCTGTGTACATTTTATAAATTACTTATAACACCATATTATTAGTTTATATTATTTCTATTTTTGATTATCGTAGTATTGTACATATTTATGTAGTTTGTCATTTTGAGAGGCCACATTTTACTGAGAAAAAAAAACGGTGGGTCAACTGACCTCCCAAACCCCCCCTGGGTCCGCCCCTGAATTTTTTAATAACTTACCAACAGAAACATTTCCGGCTTCTAATGGAACCAATGTTGATAAAACAGGTGTATCTTCAAGTTTACTATCATCACTAAGTTCTAATTCAGATTTAAGATCCTCACCTATATCATCTCTATAACCCATACTTTCATCAAATGTGGAATCTATTCCATCTTCCTTCTTTATTCCATGGTGAGAATTATCATCAGAAATAAACATTTCTTTAGTAAACTCTGTAACAAGTTTTTGGGTTCCAGAAATTGAAGGTTTTTCCTCCTGAATAGGAATTAATAATATTATTAGTAAATTTTTGACTCAGCAAAGCAATAATATGATTTATAACAATATGTTTTAAAATAAATTGATTTGTAGTTAGATTTAAGTTTGTGATGCGTAGTTTAACATGATAATTATATATCAGTAGTCATTAAAAAATCACACATGGTCAACTGAGAATTTTAGAATGGTATCATACTATTACGTCCCTGTACAACATTCTAAGATATTATTCTAATATTTTTTAAATAAAATCCCACAAAAAAAATTACTTCCAAACAGAAAATTAAATTTACATCAACAATTTAGTTGTATGGTTACAGCGAATTTAGATTTAATAAACATTAAAAACAAAATAGCTGATTCACAAGCCATATGTCTATGATTGATTACTGATGTAAAAATTGAAATCACAAACTTTAATCTAGCAACAAACTAGTTTATCTTTACTACTTCAGTGCATAACCACAGCATTTTTTAAATTATCAGAATCCATATTCACACTACATACAAATAAATTATAAAATATCAATAGAAGTAGAGGTTGACTGATAATACACAGACTCCATTAAAAATTGTTTTTCATATACAATGGTTTATAATTGAATTCAAATTAAATACTTCAACTACAGAGACTTACTCAATGACAAAGTATAACAAAATTTACTATCAGTAAAGAACTTTTTAGTTTTTTACAGTGTTAATGATATTTTAATTAAAAATTTCACCATTAATGAATTAGTATCAGAGAAACGACTATCGTCATTAGATAAATGACTCATATCTTCATCCATATCCATTATATTTATATTACCAGCCTCTTCATCAGAATCACTTAGAGCTTCACCAAATATATCTCTTTCCGCTATTAAAAACAAATAAAAAGTAACATTAAATTTATAAATAAATTAAATATTGACTAGTGATTATCCTGAGAAAATTGTATTTTAAGAGCAAATATGTAAATTTAATTTTATATAAACAATGAACAATACCAATGTTTTGCTTTAAATCATTATGCATTTCACCTTGCATAAAAGGTTCTTCTTTCATTTTTCTATTATTTTGTACCTCTGTTTCAGATACTACTTCCCATTTTACACTAAGTGCTTCACTATCACTTTTTAAAAGATATTTAACCTAAAATAACATAATTATACATTTAACAATATTTAAAACCACTTTTAAATATCAATTAATTAAGCAAAACCTCTTTTTCAATTTCTGGAGCTTCAACATATTTTTTTCTAAGGGTCTTACGAAATCTTCGTTTTCGTACATTTTTCAATGGTGGTGTAATACCATGTGGCCACAAATATTTTTTATCGACTTTATTAGGTTCTTTTTTTTTAAAAACTTTTGTTTTATCATCTTCGTCAGAGAGCAAAAAATCTTCATTTTCTTTGCATATTATCATCTAAGAAAATAATTATATTAGTTTAACATAAAAATAATATCATATAAATAACGAATTTTAACAGAATATTAAATAACACATTTTAAAATACAATAATCCATATTTATTAACAACAAATATATTGAATATATTGAGTGATTCTTTTAAAATATATATATATATTTTTTTAATTGTTTTATGAATACTAGAAAGTAATTTTTAAAAATATTTATAGATTTAAAAATGATGAATGTTGTTCAATAAGAGAATTGTTCTGTATGCCTTAAATTTAAAATTTGTATTTTAACATAGAAATAGTAGATTAATTAAAATTAATATAAATACTTTAAAAAAAATATAAAAGTTTAAGTTCTAGCCTTAATTAGAGAGAATGTTCTATAAACGAACTAAATAGAAAATAGTCTCTTTATATATCAATCACAAAATATTAGTGAAATGAAAACAAAAATAAACTTAATGACTAATAAATAATACAACATAATTTATCAATATAATTGTTGATTTAAAAATATCCTGTAAATAGACTATTGAAGTATCATAAATTAACATAATAATGCATATGATAATAAAAAAACATCTCAATTATTTTGAATAAAATATTCCAGTAAGTGCATATTTAACATAAGTTCTGGGACATACATTAAAAAAAATAAGTGAGATACATACTATATTTTCCATCCAGTTTACAAAATTTTGCATTTAATAATTTTGTTTTAGGAATAATATTATTTTTTTACCTGACAAATATCTGCAGTTTTATACACAGTTTTATTGTCAATAGTTTTTTGACCTTCAATGATAGTTGGCAAGTCAACAACCTACACACAAACAAACAGAATAATATTTTAACACAAATAATAGCTTGTATATGTAAATATATAAATATGAAATAATATAAAAAATGGATTAAATTACTTGACTCTGCCATTAAACATACTTAATAATATTAGGAATATAGTAATAATATATTAGTCATTAAATTGAGGAAATAAACAGACCTTTGCATATAGATGATGATGGCCGATTTTGACTTCACCTCTACGAATATCATTTTCTAATTTTATACTCAGTTTATCTGTGGCATCTTTTTTTATTAACTCTCTTAAAGTTGCAGCAGCTTCCTAAAACACGAAATATGAATAATAACTTATTATTGTATTCATATTTGAAATTAAATGTTATATTGTAATCTAGTTTAGATAAAATTAAAGTATTATTTGAATAATATTTCCATGAAAAACGAAATTTTCTACAAAAATTTTAATTGAATCCTTATAAAATACATAATTATTTCTAACAATAACTAACTGATATTTATAAACATGAAAAAATTAATGATAGAATTACATATTAGGGAATGTATTACCGATGGAACTCTAAGTATAACTTCAGTTTCTAATTCAATAGTTTGATCTGACTTTTGTTCCATATTTGAAAGTTTCTCTTGCGCACGAATGATCGATGCAAATAACAAATTATTAAAGATAGCTGCTGAACTTATAATATTTTAATATTTTACGAACTTTAGATAAGTACCAAAATTTAACTGAAAAAAATATGCGTAAAATTAAAAACAGATATCATTATCATAAAGTATATTCTGTGGAATTATCATCATAATATTTATATTTTTATTATGCTTATCATATTTTAATTTAAATAATATTATCCTTGACATATGATGTAGTATCTTTGATTAAATTTTTATCAGTTAGCCGCCATAAAATTATTATATAAAGTGAAGAGTGGAAGATTTAAGCTCAACGTGTCCTACAGTGGCCAGAGTGGCCACTACAGTGGCCAGAGTGGCCACTGTCCACTTGGCAGTTGGCGCTTGGCACTTGCCTTGTACTTAGTTGTATGTAAGTTTTTACATACAATACACTTTCACATTTTCTATAGTTTTTTAATGATTATTCTATAAATTTTACTAGGTAGTATATTGTTATTATATATTATAAAAAGTTTTCTCATTACTGTTTCAATTATTGTTAATAATGTCCAATTTTGATTCTGTAATTACATTACTTAAAAAATATGATCAAGAACACATCATTAAATTTTGGAACAAACTTGATGAAAATGAAAAGAAATTTTTGTTGGAAGACATCCGTGAACTAAACATTCCTGAAGTGGTTGAAATGTTTAAAAAAACTGTAGAAAATATGAATGCCAATCAACAAAAATTGGATAATAGAATGAATCCTATACCCGCCGAACTTTATGGTGCTGTGAACCGCAGTCCTAAAGAACTCTTGATTAAGTATGAACAAATTGGACTTGAGCAGATATCCCAAGGTAAAGTCGGAGTTTTGTTAATGGCTGGAGGGCAAGGTACAAGGCTTGGAGTTAATTATCCTAAAGGTATGTATGACGTCGGTTTGCCATCTCATAAATCGTTATTCCGTATACAAGGAGAACGTATTCGCTGTCTGATTAGGCTAGCAAATAAAAATTTTGGAAGCAGTAAAGGTTTACCTTGGTTTATAATGACTAGTGAACACACTATGGAACCTACTCGCAAATACTTTAAGGAAAATAACTATTTTGGCTTAGATGAAAAAAAAATTATATTTTTTGAACAATATATGTTGCCAGCATTTACATTTGATGGAAAAATCATTATGGAAGGTATTAATAAAATTTCTAAATCTCCAGACGGTAATGGTGGCATATATAAAGCTTTACGTGATCGTAATGTACTGGATGAGATTAAAAGACTAGGTGTTCAATACCTCCATGCTCATAGCGTAGATAACATATTAGTTAAAGTAGCGGATCCAATATTTATTGGGTATTGCATAACAAAAAATGCTGAATGTGGAGCTAAAGTTGTAGAAAAAGCATATCCTTCTGAGCCATTAGGTGTTGTATGTGAGGTTGATGGAAAATTTCAAGTTGTTGAGTATAGTGAAATCACTGAAAATACAGCTGAAAAAAGAAATCCTGATGGCCGTTTAACATTTAGTGCTGGTAATATTTGCAACCATTTTTTTACAACAGATTTTTTAAACAATGTTGCATATAAGTATAATAATGAATTAAAATTGCATGTTGCTAAAAAAAAAATACCTTATGTGAATGATGATTTCACTGTATGCAAACCAGAAGAACCAAATGGTATCAAAATGGAGAAATTTATATTTGATGTTTTTGAATTTTGTAATCGTCTTGCTGTTTGGGAAGTAGAAAGAGATGAAGAATTTAGTGCTTTAAAAAATGCAGATGTACCTAATGGAAAAGATAACCCTAAGACTGCTCGCTTAGATGTCTTTTCACTTCACAGAAAATTTGTTGAAAAATCTGGAGGAAAATTTAAAACTGAAAACATTGAATGTGAGATTTCACCTCTTTTATCTTATGCTGGTGAAAATCTTAAACAATTGGTTGATGGTAAAATTTTTGATTCCGTATTAGAATTAAAATCTATCGAAGAATTATCTAATAATAAAACTTCTAATGTAAATTAAATTTTTGTTTTATTCGTAACCTTTTTACTATCCACATAGTGGATATTCCTAGCTAAATTGATTTTATCATGAATTCTAAAGATCAGGTATCAATTTTCTAAATTTATAATTGAAAAACATTTTCAAATATCTATCTTAAGTTTATTACCCAAAAATCACATAAATTTTATAATTTGTTTAAAGTTATATAAGTTTTCATATTAATAATTATCATTATATTGTGATATAAATTTTAAATACTTATATTCTATTGCTTTTCTTGTATAATTAAATTTCAAACTTTTTAATATATTTTTAAACAATTTATTTTTTTATTTTAATATTAAAAACAATTGTTTACTAGTTATACATTAGTATTAATAACACTGTACTTAATAATTTTCATAGTTTCAATGATTATTTACTTTATAAATATTTTATCTTTAGTCTAGATTATTGTTACTTTATAACATGTATAACATTATTTTATACTTATAAACAATATAATTTTGTAACCCTGACAGAAAGTGCAATTTGTTAAATTTTGAAATAAATAATATTTGTTTTTTTTTACATGACTGCCTTTGTAACTACTAAAATAACCTGATAAATTGCCTGATTAACCAAATATTTTATATTAAATAAAATGTTGATTAAAGACTTACAGTATATAATCGTACTAAATATAGAGCGATCAAAAATGAAAACTAGTTCTCATAACTTTAATTGTCTACGTGACTTACAACTTTGTAAATTTTTAAAATTATTTGTCACTTACCTCTAAAAAAAAAAAAGTAAAAGTAAAAACAATTTATAAATTTATCATTTCATTAAATTGTAATAGGTAATTTAGCATAAAATTATATAAAATATTTTACATAATATGTCAAACCTTGGAAGTTTGATATGAAACTTGTTTTACATTTAAATTATTTTTTATATTATCACAGTGTAAGTATTTTAACATTTATTCCAAAGAATGAACAATATACATAATGTAGTTTTAGTAATTATTTTATAAATTTTTTTTTTTATTAAAAAAATTAACTACCTAAATCAGTATTTAAACCTGACAATTTAATATAACTAATGATTGTTTCTTTCTTTATTATTACAATATTTATATTTTACATTTAATTACTCGACTAAACAGAGTTGGTACTTAAACTAAACACTAAAAAAGGTAGTGTATTAGAATTAACTAATAAGCTCTTGATAATTCAGCAAACTTACTGATGTACAAATTAAAAGGTTGGTAAAAAAAATTTAAAAATTATAAATCTATTGATTAATAAATAATTATCATGTATATTTTCTTTTTTTAAATTGTTTTATTATATTTTTCTTATATGACCATTGTTATTCTGTGACAATGTCATAGCAAAAATGTAAAACCTTTAAAAAATGTAAAATAATTAAAGCTTGTGTTAAAGTTGTGCAATTAAACAGCAACTAAGCCTCAAAGCCCTAAAACCAATAAGGTATTATCTACTTTTCACTACACAATTTAAGTAAATTTATAATTTAAAGGTTAATTTTTATTTTAAATACCATTTTTAACATAGATGAAAATTGGTAACCACTCCATAGTATTCATTGAGTGAGTCACTATAATAATTATATAAAATTTGATTTCAATAAATAGCATACAAAAAAAAAAAAAAGGTTCTGAGCTAAGACAAGTCAGTCAGTCTTGGTTAACATGTATACTTCATTAAATTTTTATGATATTGCTAATGAAAAAAGTTTTTTCAATTTACAGAATAAGATTGAAAAATCAAATATTGTGTAACTTTTCGGTAACAGAGGTTAAAAAACAATTATTTTAATAATAATATTGAAATTTTAATTAGCTTATATATCATTTTTATTATTTCCAAAATAATAAGATTTTTCTAGTTTAACCTTACAAAAATACTATCAATATAGTTCCAATTTGCTTCTAGAAAGTATTATCAAAGTTAATGATCAAAACGCTTTTTTTTTTACTAGAAAGTTTCTTTAAGGAAAAAAATAATAAAGCATCATTGTAAAATCAATACATTCATTAGTTTTATATTTTTATAAAACAAATATAATACTTTAATTGAATAAACATTTAAGTATTTTAAATTAAATAAATAATTTAAATAGTAACTTAATTAATTCCAAAATAAATTTCATACTTGACAGACTCACTTAACATACTTGTTTCCAATTAATACTGTATAATATAGACTATAATCTATTTCTTTATCTTTTTTTTTAAATGCTTTAAAGCACATTTAGCAGCTGTACATTTAGCAATTCTATAATTGCGACCAATACCTTTAAATTCTCCTTTGCCAAATATTTCAACTATAACTCTGACTCGTCGACCATCTGCCAATTTTTCAGGTTTACTAAAAATAATAGAAAAAAATGAATAAACTTTTATAACATTCAATATTTTAAAAACACATTTTCTAAGTAAAAATTTATATCCATGTACTCTACTAGAGACAGAAACTTTTTATGGCACAATTTAGTATCATCTGCATCTCCAAAATATTTTTAGGTATAACATTGTTTAATTCTAAATTACAAAGAAGTAACAATAATAATTATTCCATTATATCAATACTTCCAAGTTTAAATAAAATTATAACTATTTAATAGCAAAAATAGGTTTTTTAAAAGTAAATTTTAACTAAATATGACAGAATCTAACGCATGCTGTTTAACATTAATACTAAAAAAATGAAACTGTATAAACGAGTAGACAAAATAAGAATTGTTTATGCATAATACTAACAAAACTAAATTCCATTAAAAAAATATAACAAGTTGACCCAAGTTTCAATCATCCATAAATAATATGATTATAACAAACGGCCCAAATGAGACAAAATAATATGTATATTATACACAACAAATTTATTACTTGTTCCTACCAATAGACAATCTTTTCATATTTTTTAAATGTTACTCACCTAAATTTAGCAGTTTCTGGTTCTAATTCTAGAAGTTCTCTGATAGGTGATTTTGGTACATTTTTACTAAATTGCTCTATAACATAAATATGTTCCAAATAGTAAAAATATATTATAATATAAAAAAAAAAAATAGTAACTAGTTATTAGTTATTATAATAGTAATTGATTTCAAAACTAAAACATTTAAAACTGTTTAAATGATAGATAGTAAATACTTTAATAGGTATTTATTACTTGAGACTTATTTAAAGTGCATGTTTGTATGTCATGATATCACAAATTAAATTTTTTAACAAATTTGATATAATAACTAAGGAATTAATTTTATAAAATTTAAAGATTTAATTTGTATTATTTAATAAACTTTTTGGAATACTTTATAGTTCTAATTTTTTTTTTTACACCTATGCTAATGTTGTTTACACAAATTATTTAAAAATACTAAGACATTTAAATTGTTTTAAACAAATATATGTTTTTGAAATAAATACTTAAATTATTGAGGTACTATAAATATCTTATAGTAATCTTACCCATTTCATTTTCCATTATTTTATGATAAACTTTCCATACTGTATCTAATGACATATTACTATCCAAATAAATTGCTCCTGCAACCGATTCAAAAACATCACCAAGGGCTTTTGGAACTTCAACATCTTCAACTTCTTCACAATCATCTTCTCCCAAGAAATAAAACTAAAAAATGTTTAAGGTTTAGAAATTATATAATAAATGTATAAGGTTGTTGGAAACTCCACATCAAAATCTAATCAATTCTTCAGCATAAATTCTTTAAGAACAATGACAAATTATTGCAATTACAAAACATATTTGAAATCGATTGAATATAATATCAACAACATTATATTTATATACAAATGTTATAGTCTAAATAATTAAACTGCAAATAGTATTTAAATAATTCCATGTAGTTCTAATTTCAAATAATTTCTTCAAAATGTCATATTCTATCAATTATATATAAGAAGCACAACTTTACCAATAAATAAAAATTAAAAAAAAAAAATAAGAATTAAGAATTAAAAATCTATACATTAAATAAATATGAAAAATAATTAAATACCTCCTCATCAATAGTATGACCATTCTCTTCTTGTATTGTTACAAATCTACAAATAACTTCAGATAACCCCGGAGATAGATGTTTGAAATACTTATGAAAACCATTTCTAACAGCCAAGGATGCAAAAATTGTATTATTGACTAGTGCTGAACGAAGATCTGTTAATGCACCAGGTGAATGTTGTCTTTTGTCTTCATACAAATGTCGTGTAATTAAATAATCTAAATTAAATAAATTTTAAATTAAATTTAGAATTATAAACATTAGATATTTTTATTTATTTACCTAAAACTGCATCACCCAGGAATTCCAATCGTTGGTAACAATCAGTTAAGCGATTGGGATGATAAGAAGCATGAGTCATCGCTTGTAATAGATAACTACGATCTTGAAAATGGTATCCTAAATGCTGTTCAAAAGATTCAAAACCATCCATTAACTTTTCTAATTCACCTTCAGGATTGTGAACATAACGTAGAAGTGGAGAAGATGGTGGTTTTAGGTAACCTAATTTTGAATTGTCTAGCGTAGGTAATACTCTTATTCCTAGCCAAGACATGAATAATAATGCTCCACGAGCTCCACAAGATATCAAATAAGCACCTAAAAAGAAATATATTTTAGGAAAAAATTATTGATTAATAATTAAATTTACAATACCAATTAAAGCTTCTACGCAGTCAGCAATACTTTTATCGGGAATACTATGTTGAGTAACAAGGTTGTAAGGCACAAACAAAGGAGTATTTTCTAAGTCCTCATTTGAGAAGCCAACTTTGAACTGTTGAATAACTTCTTCAATTTCTTTATCTGTAGGATCTTTAAATGTGGGAAGTGTTATCTTATTCCACAATGAAGTTGGTATACTAGCATTAATAAGAGCTTTTTCTAATTTATGCGGGACAAAATAACAAGGTGGTAGCCAATTATCATGAGGTTCAAATTTTGTTGATATCATACGTTCGCCAAACATTTTTAATTTACCTAGACGATACAAATTCAAATTGCTGACCTGTTTTGATCTAAGATGACTCAGTTTTCCTTCGTGAACATTATCATGAGTACAGTATAAATAAGCAGTGATGGCATATTTTAAAAACGAATCTCCGATTGTTTCCAAGCGTTCTAAATTAATTCCATCAT